AACAAAATGCTCATACTATACATGATAAATGTCGTTCCCAATTATTAATCCCAATGTCCAACCCGTACTCCAAAAACAAGACAGAAGACCAGATCCATAGCCTTAGGCAGACTCAATGTGCTCGTGCTCACGCTTCATCTGAGCATCGTGCTCCAACTCCCCGAGAGTGCCACGAGCCTTGCCCTCGGCCACATCCCGAACATCGGTGAAGTGCACCGAGGGAACAAAGCCGGGCGAGCGCCAGGCAGAAGACACCTTGGCGTAGAGCTCATCAACCTGCTCCAAAGAAAGCCCCTTGGTCTCGTAGATGCACATGTACACGAAGACACCGGCAATGGCGCAGAACCCACCCCAGATGAAGAACACCTTGGACTGGAGGTTGGCGTTGCCCGGGCCGGAGTCCACCATGTAGGGGGTGGCGTAGGCAATAGCCCAGTTCAGGAGCCAGTTGGAGGCAGTCGTGATTGACAGGCACTTGGCGCGAGCCTTCAAGGGGAACAGCTCACCGGTAACCGTCCAGGCAGTGGGACCCCAGGTGGAAGCGAAGAAGAAGATGTAGACGCAGACGAAGGCGATCAGCACCTTGTTGGCAACTTCCGAGTCGGTAGCTGTGCCGACAATAGCGACGATAAACTGGCAGACACACATGCCAACGGCTCCGAACAAAAGGAGAGGACGACGACCCCACTTCTCAACGAGCCAGAGACCGGGGAAAGTGGAGCACACGTTGACGATGTTCGTGATCAAGGTGATGGTGAAGCTGTTCTTGATGCCAGAGTTCTGGAAGAAGGTGGTTCCATAGTAGACTGCAGCGAAGGTTAGACACGGATCGATGAGAATGTGGAAAAGGAGAGAAGCTTACAGATGAAGTTGACACCAGACAGTTGCTGCAGGGCCTGGACCAAGCAGCCTGTGAGCAGACGCTTGCCCAGAGTGCCACGGAAGATGTCGCCGAAGCTGGCCTTGCCAACGCTGAGCTCGTACTCGTGGTTGGCCTGGATCTCGGAGAGCTCCTCAACGATGGAGGGGTGGTTGACATCGAGACGGCGCAGACGGGCGAGCGCTTGAGCCGCAGCCTCGTGACGGTCGTGCTTCACCAGGAAACGGGGAGTCTCGGGCAGGATGAGCATACCCGTCACCAGGATGATAGCCCAGGCGAACTGGATAGCAATAGGGATGCGGTAGCAGCCAGTGTCCATGCGGTCCTTGGTGGAATTGTTGACGATGGAGGCGAGCAGAAGACCGATGGTGATGGCCAGCTGGTAGGCGCCGACGACAGTACCACGGATCCACTTGGGGGCAGTCTCCGACTGGTAAAGGGGAACTGGGTCGCTGTTAGCATCTATCGCCTTGGATCATCCACTCCAAGGGAGCACATACCGGTTGCCGAGAGGAGACCAACACCAAAGCCGGCGAAGAATCTACCAGCCACGAACAGAGGGATGCGGGTGGCGGCAGTCTGCAGAATGACACCGAAACAGAAAACGAAGGAGTCGAGGATCATCGCCAGGCGACGACCAAAGCGGTCGGCCACGGGGGCGGCACAGAGAGCACCGAAGAAAGTACCAGCAGACAACAGAGAGACAATCATGGAAGATTGGGAGGAGGTGATATCGGGAAGTCCATCCTTGGGGTTCACGTAGCCAGTGGAGAACATCTCGCGCCACTTCTTCATGGCAATGATACCGCTGATAGTACCGGTGTCATATCCGTAGAGAATACCTCCAAAGGCGGCAAACAGGCCAACAATGATGGCAGGGGCGGCCGAGCCCGCTGCCTGATCAGGCTTCTTCAGCATGAAACCCATGGTAGATTGATCACAAGTAGGATCAGCAGGGGTAGTGGTAGAGGGGGTGTGTTTGTCAACAGTCAATGGCAGAGAGTTCTTCAGTGCGAACGATGGTAGACAGTCAAGAGTAAATAGAATGAGATCACGTGGATGGGGTGTTGATGAGAGCTGTAAGGCAGTTGATGATGGAGATGGAGATGATGATGGAGATGATGATGGAGAAGATGATGGAGATGAAGATGAGAAAGTCAATCTGAGCTGGGGATATCACGACGCTTTTGTAGTGCGCGGGGGACAAGGCCGAGAGAGTCTGGTCAACCCCAGATCCGGCCGGCCGGGGACTGCTGACGGACCGGAATCGAAGCGAATGAGTGAATGGCACAGCCCGGAATAGAGCAGGGGCCAGGCCGGCCAGGCCACGAGACCGAACATTCTTTTCCCCCGCGTCGTTTGTCAGGGCCTTCCCGAGTCTGGAGTGTGGAGACTGGAGTGTTGAGAAGTTGAGACGACAAGACACGAGGCCAGGCCAGGCCGACGATCGCCATTGTCCAGTGTCGGGACTAGTCCCGAGAGAGTGCGTTAGCCGGGAGGGTTTCTGGTGCGCAAAGCCGACCGGTGGGGACAACACTGGCTCTCGCCGGTGCCCGAGGAGGTTTGTTGCCAACCCATCTCCGAGGTATCTCTAAGACCCTGCCGTGGATTTCGAATCTAAAGTGGAAAGTGAATAGATTTAGCACCTGATGTGCCAAACAAAGGCAGTGTACAGTATTCACCGCTAAGTTAGAGAACAGACGGGAGGTGAACAAGAGAAGCCGGCCCAACACCGGGAACGGCCACACTGACAAGTTACAACAAACTCCAGACCGCATTCGGGTAGCCGGTCTTAACATTTCTCCCCATCCCGAATCAGCCAAATCAGCCAAATCAGCCACAATAAACAGAAGCACTCTCTACATAACAGGACTAGAGCCAATTCGGAAATCTTGACGGCGATTTTGCCCGAACTGTCAGTCTATCAAGATGATCACAAGATCAGAAACTTTTGGAACTTTCTTCCCCAGACCAGCCCGGCGTGGGGTGAACAGTGAAAAGCGTTCTATTTTCCCACGCTAAATCCAACGCTAAACTAGCCCAACTTCCTTAGCCTCCAATTGCCTCAGCCACAGTCCTCAGTACTCAACCCCGAACCACGGCTCACCCGATGGTTCAGGAGCTTTCCAGCACGGCCAGAGCCGAAAAGCAACAAGCAAACCCCCCAGGGCCTCCCCAAGTTTCACCTATCGGTCCATCCTTCACCAACCAACCTTCTCACCGGGAACCCGAACTCGGCTTAGGGCCAGTTTTGTGCTCTATCGGTCCCTGGCGAGCGTCGGCGATTTCCCTCCGATCCAGGTCCAGAGTCGTGGCTTTGCACCTTGCGGAAAATTTTTTTCTCATCCTTGCTTTGCCACATGATCAGCATCCCCGGATTTTTTTTACTTGCGTCTGTCATCTGGAGCCCGTCTAGATGCTTGACTCTGAGTCTCCAAAATGTTGAACTCCCACGAGGGCGAAATGATGCTATTTTCAGATCCCACCCATGACTAACGACCTAGTCTACCCAATTCTTGACTAATGCGATGGAGGACAAGAATAACCAAGCAACACAATCAAGAAACTTTCCTGGATGCCCCCTCCCCCGAGCCGATAGATTATTGCCGGAGCGGAGGACGGAGGCTTGCTGTGTGCGATCATTTCCCGACCCCGGGGGAAAAGACGGCGCGGGCACCATCTGTGACGGTGGTGCCGCTCTGATTGCACCAGATCCCCTCTCTTCCCGGGCAGAATTAGAGTTGGCAAATGAAATCTGTTTAGGCAGCCACTGGGCACGGCACTCCAAATCGAAAAGGAGGTGATCTTCCCTTCCCCCGCGGGATCAAAGTCAACTTCAACAAAACACGAGGATCCGGGGACGGTTCAACGTCATCCTTAGGTGAGGGAGCCTGATTCTTTCCCGCTTCAGAGGTTGCCGTGTTGGATTCCATTGGTGGTGGTGGTGGTCTTAGGGCCAGTGTCAGAATGCGGGGTTGCTGTGCATGGTCCATACATCCCTACGTAGATGTTGCGTCCCCCCGGGTTTGGGTTTCTGGGTCAGACACCAGCGATGGAGGTGAGGCAGAGCAAGTAGAAATGTGCTCCGTATGGGGAAGGCAATTGAGGCTCTCTGTGCAAAAGGCGGGATCGCAATGGCTCTGTCTTTCACATCTGCCGTACGATAGTCTCTTACATGGGACGGGGTCAATCCATCCCTTTTCTTCTCTGACCAGCCCTGCCCAGCTCATTTGACTAGACAATGCATTCATAGACTTCTGGAGTTCGATAATTATCCAATCAACAAGCTCGTGTAAGATAATCTAGCTTGGAGAGACTTTCTTTAGAGTTAGCCACCTAAAACACATCTTCCATCTTTTGGCCTCCAATGGCTTTACTCAGTCCTTGGGAAGTTGTGGTTTGCTGGCCAAGAAAGGCAGGAACGTGTCACCCGCGTGGACCACCCATTACACCCCAACAAAAAAGTAAATTGTCGTCTGTAGCTCTCAATAAAGACGAAACCCAGCCACCCAGCCACAAAAAAAGGAATTGAAGCTCTCCGATGCGGGGAATCGAACCCCGATCTCCTGTGTGAAAGACAGGTATGATAGCCGTTACACTACATCGGACAGTGTATGCTAGGAACTCCTGGCAGTAATACATGACGTTGGAACGGATAAATGAGGCCGTTTGGGCCAGCAACGTCGATGATATCTCGAATCCTGTGGTGGTAGTTTGATGGTTACACAAGATTGCTAGGGCGAAGGCTAGATAGGGTTAAGGGTACCCGCCTGCTCTAATCACGTGTGTGGGCTGCTCCGACAGGCTACCTGCGTCCCGCGCGCAAGGCCCTTGCTTTCATGTATCACCCTAACGTATTGTCTATAGCAGGTACAACGATGCTGTACTCTACGAAATGGAGGCAATTCGAATCGAAACTGGCTTGAGATTCTCGCTCATCAGTGGCATGATTGATCAGTATGCTATTGCCCACATACAGAACTGAAACTCCGAAACCTGGACCAGCGAGGTTGCAGTGAAATTCCGTCCCGAGTGCTAAACCCCGCAAATGTATATATTCAGGACAAAAACCCGCCATGTCTACAAACTCCGCCCCACCATTCCATGTCTTTTATTTCCTCTACCAACGCCAAATGAGAAAGAAATACCACGCAAACACAATCCCCGCTACGTACTTCACGGAATCTACAAACTCCCCCTTAACACTCCCGGCCGTGGTCGTAGTCCGGCCGGCTCGGCGCCCAGAGCCATCCCGCGTCGGCTTCCATTTGGCGCTACTCAGCTCATCCTCATCTGCACTTGCGTAAGTGGCGTGCAAAGGAGGATTGTTGGTCGCGCGACTAGCCAGGCCGTGCGGGGATGGAAGCGTGGAGCCGGACGTACTAGAAGACGGGCTCTTGTATCGGGCGGGGCGCTGTGGAGGGCGACTGCGATTCTCCGACAGAGGGAGGATGGGGTCCGTCGCGCTAGCCTGTGAGGGATGTTTCACCACAAACACCGCCCGGAGAAGGAGAACAACCAGGGTGAAAGCCAAGACAAGGCCGTAATTGATGAAAATGGAGAGCTGGTCGGGAAGAAGGCACAAGTGATTCTGCACGGTCCGACCAGATCCGGACGACTGCAGCGACTGCCCGGTCGCCTTGTCGACAGGGTTCCACAGGCTGGTCATCACGAAGCCGGGCCGTCGAATCCCCATCGCCCAAGACAGGCTCTTCACCGTGATTTCCCGGGGGGACCCACTGAATTCGTGATGAGCAATTTCGCAGTAGTCATGATCATCCCCGGAGTAGACTTGAACGAGGTTAGGCCCAACCTTGGACACGATGTCCCGCGAGATGGTGGGCGTCAACACATTCTGGTACTGGTATCCCCGCCCCATAGGTATGGAGTTGCGCTCATCCTCTTCCAGGTTGTCATCCGTTGGGGGATACCGCTCTCGGTAAGGCCCGCATGGCGTGGCCGGTTTGCGATACAACGGGACGTGTGTTAAGAGAATCGCGGGGAGGCCTGCGATCTCTGGCTGCGGTCGGTGATAGAAGGAGGGCTCCAAAATGTCCACAGCCCGATGCACATATAGATGCCCCTCGCTCTCATTTCTCATCATGCGCAACGATTCCATCTCCGCCCGGCCCCGGTGCACGTTCATGTTGTTGAGAAATTGCTCCGTGTCCGCCCAGATGCGCTGGTTTGGCAGGACCCCTTCCCCTGTGCCGGCACCCGAGCTGCCAGTCTCCGGATCAGGCTGATCCATGGCGCTCAGCGAGACGGTGTCAACTGAGACAAAGGTATGGTTTCCGATCACGTCCACGCGATTACCTTTCCCAAAGAAGCTCTGGAATCGTTCCCGAACAGGGATCTGGACACCCGACCCAAAGCCCAAGTCGTGGTTGCCCGGTAAGCTCGTGATCATTCTTCGCCCACGAGGATCGCTCGCGTGTCCATCGCCCTGATTCCAGGTATCCATGAATATCTTAGTGAATCGATGGAACTCCTTCTTCCAAAACCGATCCTTGTATTTTTGGTACCGCTTCTCCGGACTGGAGCTAGTTGCCGTCGCCCATTCCCTGCCGCCATCGAACAAGTCGCCCAGGAATAGTACCGAGTCGGGACCCAGCTCTTTCTGCAATGTAGAAAACGAACGCCGCATGTATTGGTCGGTGAACTTGACGGTCAAGGTCGACAGGGGCCACGGCCGGCCGGGGTAGGTATGAGGATCGACTAATTGGGGATCGGCGATGAACGCGACATGGTGCGGCACGGCGTCTTGAGGCTACAGAGCACCACTGTTAGATGGATCCAAAGATAGAGACAGTCGGCGAAGGACCGTAAGGCAACGATGTCACATACCCATTTCTCCCAGTTTCCCCACGCACATGCCTTGACGCTGTCCTGGAAAATGGTCCGCTCTCCCCACCAAAGCGTGCAAGCCCACAGGACTACCAGCGCATTTGTGATGGTAAAGATCCACCGGAATGTCCTCCGTAGCAATGACAGCATCCCATCCCAGCTTTGAATTCCATTTGTCAGTTCCATCGCCCATTGTTGTGTCCATGATGGCAGGTAATCTCGCATCTGTTGTGAAAATGTCGCTGGTTCCATATCAGGTTCGCGACTGACCGGCCGATAGCTGCCAGAGCTGGCGCCGTGTGAGTGAGGGTAGGCGTAACTCATGGTTGTTGGTGCACAGTGGAGATGCAGCTACCGTCATGCGGCATTGCCGCTCCGATGCTGAAACGAGTTTGAAGCAGTTAGTAGAGAACGAGTCGCGACGGCATGCCTCGAGATGCAGTATGATCAAGAAAAGAGATGTAAGAAGCGAGCGAAAATAGTTTGATCCAGAGAAGAATAAGTGTCAAAGTGAGAGAATGAGAGAATGATCAAGTGAAGATGCCAGCCCAGGGGTGTGTTTCGCCGCCAAACAGGCGCGGGATCACGTCACGTGGGAGGTGGCCGCCGCAGCTTCTCCAGCTGGGTTTAGTTTAGTTTGGGGGTCTTGTTCCAATTTTGGCAATTTTGGGAACTGACAGCCTCCGACCGCGGGCGAACTAACCCATCCCTGTCTCACTCCAAGCCTCGTCTTTGGTCACCGCCCGTCAGCATGTGCCGTCTCTGGGAATTGCTACTACATCTTGCTACTACATAGGCATCCTACAAACACAGGTGGCTTGATAATTCCAACATATGACCAGCATATAGTACGGTGTAATTTTGGTAGAGATACTTGAAAACAAGCGCGAGATGCGCACGTCTGGATGCATTTATGTCAAAGTGCCCGCCGAACATGCGCCAAGTCCAAACAGATTCTTAACAGGGACAAACTCAACAAATGACATTTCAGTCACCAGAAACAATTGGGTATGATTAGTACGGATAGGAAACAGTATTTTTAGGGCGAGTCGTCTTATAAGGAAGTGTAAAGGTGAGGTAATTAGACGGAAGAGTATCGCGACCCCTCCCTAACGCAGTCACGGCGACCTCTTCGGACAGCACTGGCCGTTTTGAGCGCATTCTTCGCCACATTCAAGAAGACAAGCCTGAGGATCCCCTTCAGGAACGCTAGGTGTACGGCTTGGGAGCGTCGTCGAAGTAGAGGCTTCACCATCGGGGTGAGAAGGGAATTGAATGGTGTCTTCAGCATCACTGTCCGGCGCAAATTCGGGTTGAATGGTGGACGAATGAATGCCATAGGCATGCAAGCACTTGCGCACCTGCCTGGCTAGACGCATGTACCGCTCCGAGCCCTCGCCCTTAATCTCCGTATCGACCTGGATGTGAATCGAGGCCACAAGCTTGGTGTCACTCAACTGCCAGACATGTAAGTGGTGGGAGCCCATTACTCCCGGCAATCCTTCAATGTCTTCCTTGATATGATCAATGCTGAGGCCGTGGGGCACAGCCTGAAGCAGAATCCGCGAGGCCGCTTTGCAAAGAGGGATGGCAGAACAGAGAATAATCACGGTGATCACCAATGAAATGCCAGGATCCACATAGAAGCGCCAGGAGTAATCAGTCAGCCAGATGATCAGGGCGGAGGCGATGACGCCGATGTTGCCGAGCGCATCACCCATCACATGAAGGAAAACACCTCGCATGTTCAGATCATGGCTATGGCCATGGCCATGCTTTTCATCCTTCTGTTTAGGCTGGGCATGGTTGTGATGCCTGTGAATGTCGTCGTCCACGGGAGTACGATGAGCCGTCTTAGGCGCATTTTCGGCGTCAGTATAGTTGCCAGCACGATCCTTGTGGCCCAATAGCGCAGAGCGTTCGGATGGACGGACGTCCTCGGAATCCCCACCCTCAAGCACGTCGGTGTCGGATCCCGATGGGTCATCATAGCGAGAGCGACTGGCTGCAATGATTTCCTGCCGCAAAGTGGCGGGATGGACTTGGATCTCTTCGACATCAAGGAACCCACGGCCGGTTGCGCCGCTGTAGCGACGAGAACTGCGGTGCTGACTGTCCAAGGTCCGACGACGGTTTGAATACGGGGAAGACACGTCCGCGCCAGCAGTACGCTGCAATCAGAAGTCAACATGTGTCCTGAAAAGATGGGACCGGCCTACTCACGCTAGTTGTGTTTCCTTGCTCCAAGACTGGAACAGGGTCATGACTATGCTCATGACCATGGCCTTCCTCCGCAAAGTCACCTTCTTCGATGTCTGCGTGACCATGGCTGTGGCCGTGTCCATGAGAATGGTCATGGAAAAGGACTAAGCCAATGAGGTTTGATAGCAGACCTAAGCAACCGACAATGCAGACAAATTTGGGGTTCTTGACCTCCTGAGGCTCCACCAGTCTCTGTATGGCCTCCAAGAAGATAGACAAACACAAGGCGACCAGAAATACTCCGTTGACCAAGGCACCTAGTGTTTCTGCGCGTTGCCACTGCAAACCGGACGATGATGGTTAGGACGAGTTCCAAGCGGTGTGCAGGAAAGGGGACAGCTCACCCCATATGTGTACATCTTCGAGTTGGTTTCGCGGTTGGCGACTTTAACGGCCCATAATCCGACCAACAGAGACAGAACATCATTGAGCTATGGCAAACAGGTCAACAACGCGGTCGGAGGGCTGCAGGAGTGTGGGCCGAGGCGTACCATATGAAAGGAGTCGGCAACAAGGGCAAGCGAGTGGACGCTGTAACCTATTCAAGTCCAACAGGTTAGAAGGGCGGCAGTCAAAGATTCATGTTTGAAGAGACAAACCAGCAATCAATTCTAACAAGAAGAAAGCCGAGTCAATAGCCAACAGGATCAGAATCCTGTTGGTCTTGGAGAGGCCCATCGTGTGTGGCCTTGCGCTCCGTGGCGCGCGTGGGATGGGAAAAAGATGACGACAGCGACCCCTAATCAGGTGGCGAAGATCGATATCCAGGCGCACCAAGCGAGTGACCCTGAAGAGTTTCGCAGTAGCAGGATCAAGGAGAATAGGGAAGATTGGAGAAGAGCAGGAGAAGAGCAAGAAAAATAAATCTCACAAGAGATAATAAGTAATTAGTGATAGGAGAGACTGGAGTCCCAAGGATTCCTGGTCGCAGACCAAGGACTAGTTCAGGAAGGCGGAAGGGCGCCGGCCGATCGGAGCGAAGTGGCGTTAGCCTCTGCCGTTCCCCACCGCCTTGCGGGTTATCCTTTCAAGGCTGTCCATGAAGCATGACTAACTTACTGCAGTGCGTGAGTAACTACACTGAGTACTAACTAACTTACTCCGTATTACAACATCCTTCCCCTCTTTCCTCTCTCTTATGTTTGCACCACTTTATAATATGATCAATGCACTCCAAGTCTTCTGTACTACAGGTTTCTCCCAGCTACGTACTAACTTACCTGCTGGACTGACTGCTGCTGACCTCGTGCCGGTTCCACCCATACTTCGCAATCTAGGCTGTTTTGCGACCCACTCCCTGACTTACAGGGTAGAGCCAGTTCTCTCCACCGTTTGACGCCAAACGAAATTGGTTGTGGCCCCTTCTCCACGCCAAGTTTTCTCCTTTCTCTTCTCCTGATCTATCCCCCGAACTTATCCGACTAGAATTGCTTCGTCAAGTGCATCAAGTGAAGCAACATTCACAAAATTTCAAGGAGTAGACCTGTCACACATCATGCAGCATGCCACATCATGACGCAAGATCCGAAGAGACTTTATGCGGCGCGGCTGCCTACAGCGTGGAACGGTCAAGGCGCCGTCTGTGCGCTAGCTCGGGAAACTAGCCCAGAGCTAGCTAGACTGGTAGACTACGCCCAGCCGGCACTTTGGCGGTTGGCCTCAATGCAAGACGACGAACTAAGCGAACAATAACATAAGACTAGTACTAGTACCTCCACTACTCTGAAGCTATTTGGAAACAATTTGAGCTTTGCGAGAATAGGCCAATGAAGGAACTTATGTTTCTAAGAAGAGGGTCTACCTCCACCACCACCGGAAGTTATACTCTTCTGACCTCAATGTCGCACTGTCTTTTCGAATCACAGTGTGTAGTGTTTGTTTCTCGGCAGCGGCTGTTCGAGCAACAGAACAGCTCGGAAAAAATCTTGGCTAGGCTCTTTAAAGGATTCTTTGTCATGATTATGTATGCGACACAGTCAACTGCTTGGACGAAGTCGACTACAGACCCGGTCACTAGTTGACCTGTGGATCATGAAGGAGGATGCATTCTTTAATCGACTGTCTCTTCTGTACGCCTATATCGGCAGACGCTCTCTCTTCGATCGCCTGAGGTGCTTCTGCGGTAACGGAAGCTCTGTGTAGGACCCGACAGCCTCGGCTAATTTCCACTCCTACTGATGAGTAGCCCTGAGTGTAAAATTGATGGGACTGATATGATTCATCACTCGACCCGCCATAGAAGTGTCTGCGTCGTCTAGAAGTGGTTGGTATTGATTCAGCTCCCCAAACAAAGGATTAGACTCCGGAAGACATACTGCTCTGGGCCATTTAAATGAGGCGGTCACCGTGGACTACCTGAGGTGATGAAACGAGGTATCGGGGCTTTGAATGAGTAGTTTCTGGCAATGAAATCCAAGAATCGTGCTTTTGAAGACTGAACAATACCCAAGTTGGTAGTCATTACTCTGCTAGAAAGAAGCCCTGCTCCAGCCAGTGGCTGCCTCGGACCACGATCAGCAAGTCACGAACCCAAAGTTGCACAGGATCGAAACTGCTCATGTTGCCATACCAAGTCGCTTATAGCCCGTCCAGCGTGGTCCAACGATCTCAATAGCCTCGTCAAGCTGTATAAGGGGGTGGCGGCTCTGTCCCTTGAAGTTCACAGATTTGTCGTTGGCCATTTCTTTCCCAACCTTCAATTTCAGCATCGTCATCACTACTTTCAACCAGGTCCCTTTCCATGCTCCTTTTCTCAGCTACGATTCCCTTCGTTCCGACCGCGTTATCAATCTTCTGCCATAAAGTCTTCGTTAGCATAGCCCATGCTTAGGAATTCTATGCAGGATCGCAGACGGGACCCGACATACCTTATCCTTCATCCCATCCCTGCTCACAACCACCACATCCTTACTCTGGTCGACCCTGCCCACCAAGCTTCCATTCTTCCACACCCCATTCTTGACCACCATCCCCTTCAGATCAGTATTGACAATCACACACCCTTCCACCTCGCAGTTCACGAGCCTTGCCTTCTTCAACCGGCTGCCCGTCACGCGACAGTCGCCGATGGTACTCCGCCGCAGAGCACTCCCGCCTCCGATCTTCGAGGCTCTCACCTCGCAGCGCGTCATCCACGACCACTCGCCGATGATCGAGTCGCTGAGGGTGCATCTCCGGAGCGAGATGACATTCTCTAGAGTGCAGTGGTCGGCTTGCACGAATTTGCTGGAGGAGACGTTGGTGAGGGTGCAGTTGGCGAAGATGCAGTGATGCAGGTGGGAGTGTGCGATGGTGCAGCTGGTGCAGGTGGAGCGGCTGATGCTCGTTGCTGATGGATTGGATGAACAGGCTGGGGCGGAAGTTGACGCCGAGGTTGAGGCTGTGGTTCTGTCGATGCCACCCACACCGGTGATGGTGACAGCCGTGAGGACGCTCCGGGCGATATAGTCCGAGGGAGTGAGGTGGGACAGAGAGCACTCGGTCAGTGCGGAGCGGCGGATGGTGGGCGAGGCATTGGTCAGTGTTGTGGTGTTGGTGGTTGCTGATTTTGATTTTCCCATTATGGTAAAACTCTTGAATTGAGATGTGTAGTGAGATGGACGTCGTTATCTTGCGAGGAAGGATGGAAAGTCGCCGAGATTTATGCTCGGCGATTAATTATGGATGGGTCTCGGCAGTGGGCGCTGATGCGACGAGACGATTCAGAAGTGGTATATATACCTTAATCTAGGATGTCGACGGTTGTGCCTCGCATTGGTTGCTATAATCGCCAGTATCAGGCTACCAGTTTTTCAACTTCAAGGGATCCTATACGAATGGTCGATATAGGTAAGACAGCCCTTTATTCATGCGGTCAATGGGCGGTGCCCAGAGGCGCAGTGCTTCGCAACAGCTTCCCGATCTGGAATAGACTCGCATGCGTGGCGGGGAGGAAGGATTACACGAGCACTGCCTGCCGGATGGCAACTTTTCTCATCTTCTTATTATTCTGCTGTCAAACTGGCCGCATCATGAGCACAACAAGGCCAAAGCCCTGCTGGGAGAAATTGTTATCGTTGTTATTGTTTATGTCTGGGTGAGGGTGAGATGAAGACAAGATAAAGCTCCGAATTTAAGCTTCATCTACAAGCTAACCCCGCCGAACTAAGGCAGATCCACTCCATGGCCTGACAATGGAACCATATCCCCGATCTGACTAAAGCCCTCGGGATGATCGGATCGTCTCCTGCTTTTGAGCGGAGACTCACCTCTGTCTACTTATACCGTGTAAAATGCCGGTTCATATCACGTACAATGGAACTACATCTCTAGGCCCTCAAGGAACCATGAGCGATAACGCACATCCATTCCGCAAGATCCTCCTGGTCGCAACGACGGGTGGCTTTACCCATGCCGGTACGCTCACATATTCAGATTGAGTACACCTACTAACCCAGGTCCAGCTCCGGTCCTCGAACTGGGCAAGGTTCTCTCCGAGCGAGGCCACACAATCGACTTCGCAACCATGGAGGGCCAGGAGCACTGGACGAAAGACTACCCATTCATCTCTCAGCTGCATATACTCGGAGCCGGTCCAACCGAGCAGCAGCTGAGCGAGCATTACTTGCGCATGCGTAGTTGGGACATGTCTGTCGGCCTAGCAGGCGCCATGCCCTCGAAGTACATGTTCGACTCCTTCTGGCCTGTGACCTACGATCACCTCAAGGATATCATGGATGATCCTGCCCGCCGTCCCGACTTCATCATCGCGGATTTCTTCGTCGATGCCGTCAAAGACATGCACTTCCAATACCAAGTGCCCGTAGCCATCGTGCACCCACAAATGCCAGCCTTGATGCTCCCGTGCAGCTACATCCCCGGACAGCCGGGCTTTCAGCTAGACGGAACCCTCACCTCCGAGCACGCCTCCATCTGGCTCCGTCTGAAGAACGAGCTCGTGGTCGTCAAGGGCGTGAGAGAGATCATCCGCTTCTTCCGCTGGACGAAACAAATGCGTCGCACTCACGGCGTGTACTACTCCATTCCCAACCCCCGCAAACCCGACTACCTTGTCTTCATTAACTCATTCTTTGGACTCGAGGTCCCGCGCGACCTGCCGCCGCTCGCGGCCGTCGTAGGCCCGATACTCAGCGACACATACCCGCCGTGCGACGAGCATTACACCAAGTTCCTCTCCGATCGCAAGAAGGTCATCTACATTGCCCTCGGCACGCATGTCATCCTTTCTATGGCGGACGCGTCCAAGATTCTCACCGCGCTGTTCCGGCTTTTGGAAATCTCCGTCATTGACGGCGTCATCTGGGCGGTCGGCCAAAGCGGCCGACAAGACCTCGACCCATCCGCCACATTCACGTTCGTAACTCCTTCTTCTCCTCCGATGCTATCAAATACTGTCGACAGCAACAAAGAGTCCAGAGAGGGAACGATCACTCTAGCCGACCTCCTAGCCGGCCACCACCCGGCCTTCCTCTTCCCCCACTTCGCCCCCCAGCGCGCCCTTCTCGACCACCCGGCCGTGCGCCTCTACTTCACCCACGGCGGCGGTTCAAGCGCCAATGAGGGTCTCTACCACGGCAAGCCCATGCTGGCGATGGGGATCTTCTCGGACCAGATCGCCAACACGGCGCGGCTGGTGCACGGCGGCGTCGCGGAGTCGCTGAACAAATTCTCCTTCACCGCGGAGGAGGTCTTCGAGAAGGCGCGCCGCATCCTCGAAGATGTCGACGGCAGGCACGCGCGCGAGTCGCTGCGGCTGCAGCGGATTGCTAGGGTGGCGTCGCGCCGGAAGCACTACGCGGCGGATCTGGTGGAGGAGGTGCTGTATGACACCGAGCTGCGGGTCGTGGACGGAAAGGAGGTCCGCCCGATGCATCTGCAGACGGCGGATATGAGGATGCCGATGTATAAGGTGCGGAACTGGGATCTGATGGCGTTGGCGGGGGTGGGCTTGGCGGGATGGTTGGGGGCGGTTGCAGTATTGGGGCGTTTGGTGTGGCGGCATCGGACGCTTACGAGGGGGATTGTGCTGGGGTTTATGGAGCAATTTGAGGTTGCCCTAAGGTCGGCTGTAGGTGAATGATTGATGCACAGTTCTCATGGTGGGGTGGAAGTGAAATCGGTTATCCTATGACAAGCTGTGATTTCTGCCAGTTCGTACAGTACTTCCATATAACATTCAGCCTCGTTAATACCAATCTTAAGATACTGGGAGATGACTGGACATCTACCATAAGCATTAGATGTCTGTTCCGTACAATAAAACTTTTCCGACTATCGAATAGTACAATACCTGGAAAAGGCTTAAACCTCATCTTTAGTCTGTCTGTATTCCTCTAATCACAACTAAAATGAAATCCGCTCTGCCGGACTTTAGGGGTAAATAGTGGCATTTGTTAGCTGCCTTCCACTGCAAGAGTCTCTACGCAGCTCCCTCTTCCACTCGCTCAATCATATACCGACTCGGAGTATAACCCCTCTGACCCCGGGATAATGCCCCCCCTTCCCCCTCCAATTGCGAAGTTAGTACTGCGTTCACTAGTATAATTGTAAAGAGCTTTCTCGTTTGTTTGCCTTCACCCTGAAGCAAGATTGACTATGTACATCATTGCAGACATTCACTTTCCTCATGCATCGTGATTCATCCAGGTATAGTACCTTCATAGGGATAGATTGAGCTTCTCAATGAACATGTATTCACTGACTTCGCCAGTATTCGCATAGTCCTCGCTGCGTAGCGATCGCTCCTTCCTTGAATCTAGTAGAGATATTCACCTCCGAACCCTTCTGCCTCAGAGATATAGACAGTTAAGTAGAACAACAACCGCCAAGCCAACGTCTTTAGCTCCTTACTCATATTAACCAACCAACCATTGTACAACTTTCCTTTACACAACTTTCCTTTACAATCCATCGAAACTCCCCATGAAGCCCAAATTGTACGAGTCCGAAGACACACCGAATCGCACTTATCTGGCCCCGAATGGAAACAAGAAAACCCAGCATCACAGGCCAAGTGTGACAGAAATTCCGACATAGCTATGTGGCCGACGCTCCTAACGAGAAAGACTGGCCACCTTTCGGTGTGTTCCTTTCCGACGCATTTGTTCTCAAAGCCCCAAGACAATACCATGGCAAGCGGCACAGCCAGACGTTCCACTGGTGACCTCGCCTGTGCGGGCGCCATTCGTGAGCCTCGTATCAACCCCGATCGAATAAAACATCGATCCCCGTAAAAAGCAATCCAGTCGCCTATGAACCCAATCAAAGAGGAATTCTCGTCAAAGTCGTGCTCGACGACGATGAAAGAAATGAGGGAGATGAATGCCCTCTGCAAGAAACCCCTCGCGTGGGCCGGAGACGAGTATTACTCGGTTCCTTTCAGGAGCCTCGAACTGACAGACATCCATTTTTACTTCGGTATATCCGAAGATTCTTCCCATTTCTGAGTGGAAGGCTGCGTCCGATTACCTCAGAGTCTCGATAAGCGGCACTCCTCCCAAGCATACCGTGCAGAAACTAAGTGGGGTCGTAGACATCGAAGCTGCGAGAATGAGGATCGATCGAATCCTCAGTGCTGTTATGCATCAATAGCGGGCCACTAGAGGCAATCGTGCCCATGAGATGAGACTCGGCGTTGAGACGATTCTCGACAGTCTTTAGGAAAGAGTGCCGGGTCGTCCGATTATTCGATATGGTATGAAGACTTAATTAACCCTTCTACACAAGTGGTCATCGTGGAAGCCAAGAGAGAGGGCCAGTCAAAAGTTGGTTGTTCTGGTGCGATAACAGACGGCAATCAATGGGACTTCGTTATTCTTGATCGACTACGCAAGGTACCGTGCCACTCACAAACAACAACCACAGTTGCACTATTTACTGAGAAGCGGTCTCTAGTATTCTATCATCACCTGTCGCTGGGATTCTGGCCAAAAGGCCCTGGATGTGGAATGCACTTTACTGGATGGCGGCAATGGGGGAGAAACAGCCCCCGCAGGGTTCGAATGATATGGAGGAGTAACTCAAATTATTATTAGTGAGAAAACAACGAGTTGGTAAGGAACTTGATGTTCAGAATTGTCTACTACACTACTTATCTACATAATTTGTTGCGTGGTTATTATGTGTGTGTATAAATGGTCTGTCATGTGACGGTGGACAGAATACAACCATCGCCTACGCATCGCCCCGGCTTTCCTTAAGCGTGCCACCCTCAGCTCTTGCGATACTCAACCTATCGGGCTCACCAATGTCTGACGAGCGACGGGATTGTCCAGCTCCAGCGAGGAGGACCTGACAACTTAGGTACGAACCCTGTTTTAGACCCCAACCCTGGGTCCCTCACAATTCTGATTCTGACCCCTGCAATGATAAAGCTTGATTTTCCCAGTTTCACCCGGCTGAGCCTCGGCGATTGCTCGCGTCAATCCTACGCCCCACAGCAGCAACGTCAGAACATTACAGAGTAGGAGGGAAGATGATGATGTATAAAGTCTTGATGGCGTCTATTCTTGCTTGATTATAAATGGCCGCCGCAACGGTGCAGAAACAAGCAATTGTGTGTCCGACCCTTCCGACGATCCAAACCCTCCTGATAGCGCGGCCTTATTCTGCCCCGTGCCTCCACTCGTGGGGCGCAACTGCGCAGCCCGTCAACGGCGCGTTGCCGCCAACTTCGGAGACTTATTTCTTGGAGATAACTCGGCATTTGACTCCATCCCCTCAGCCTATGAAAAGCTCCAGCCCTGTTCGTCAGGACACGAGTAAGAAAAATCTTGGCACCTCCCGAGTGGGGCGGGTGAAACGGCTGGCAGGTGGATCATCTTCCCATACGTCATGGCGATGCAGCATTCTGGTGTTTGCGATGGGCTTCGTGGGCTTGATGGACGGTCGCTATATAGAGACAGCTTTGGCTGTTGAGCTTTGTAAAGGAGTAATAGATCAGCTCTCTTCTCATCCCTTAATAACTAATCGCATCTCAATTCCCCTGCATCGAGCATAATGACGGTTCCCAGCGCGGATAGCTTCGACTTTGTGGTTGTCGGCGGTACGTCTCACTCGTTTCTTCCTTTGTTGACAAGTGTTTCTCTAACATCCCACCAGGAGGTACTGCTGGTAATGTGGTGGCCGGGCGACTGGCCGAGAACCCCGAGGTCCGCGTGCTGGTCATCGAAGCGGGTATCGCGTATGTGACCGACCCTCCAAGCACAGTATGACTAGGACACCCGACTAAAGCAAACGACCGAGACGATAGAAACCCTCAAGACATCGAGAAGATCACCACCCCGGCTACCGCCTTTGACCTGCGCGGCAGCAAGCATGACTGGGCCTACAAAACGACCATGATCAACAGGCCCTCCTACGAGCGCGCCGAGAAGCCCAACACCCGTGGAAAAGTCCTCGGGGGTAGTAGCTGCTTGAACTACTACACCTGGATCCCGGGTAGTAAGGGCACCTTTGACGCGTGGTCCGAGTACGGAGGTCCGTCTTGGACGTGGGATGGGTGCCAGGAGTATTTCAGCAAGGTGCGGACTTCATCCTCAGCATCAGCATCTATAATGACGGTCACGAGCAAGAATCGCCTGCTAACGTGAGCAATGTCAAACAGCCAGCAACATACCACGACGACGACAACCTGTATCCCAACGAGCTGGCCAAGATCGGTCGCGACGGACCGGTGCACGTCTCGCACGCGGACCTCGTCCCCGAGCTGCGGCCCTTCCGCGACGCACTCACCGTGGCCTGGACGGGCGCGGGCCACCCCGTCAGCGAGGACATCTACTCCGGCAAGATGGAGGGGCTCACGCACTGCGTCACCAGCATCTACCGGGGCGAGCGATCGTCCAGCGGCGCGTACCTGACCGGCAAGACGAACGTGGTGATCATGCCCTCGTGCATCGCCAAGAAGATCAACTTCGACGGCGACACCGCCGTCAGCGTCACCGTGCTGGGGCCGGACGGGTCGGAAGAGGTGATCATCGAGGCCAAGCGGGAAGTCATCGTCGCGTGCGGCGTCTTCGAGACCCCCAAACTGCTGATGCTGTCGGGCATTGGGCCCAAGAAGGAGCTCGTGCGTCACGGCATCGAGCCCGTGGTCCACTCGGAGCACGTGGGCCAGAACCTCCTCGACCACCCCATCATGCCGCATGTGTTCCGGCTGAAGGAGGGCATGGGGCTGGATAGCCACCTGCTCCGGGCCGGGCCCGCGCACACCGCCGCCGTGCAGAAGTACCGGGAGAGCAGGCAGGGGCCCTACAGCAGCGGACTGCTGGAGCTGGTGGGACTGCCTCGCATTGATGACCGTCTGGAGAGATACAAGGAGTACCGGGAGGCGAAGGCGCAGAACGGGGGTAAGGATCCGTTCGGTCCGGAGGGACAGCCGCATTTCGAGATCGACTTTGTGGTCCGTATTTACCCGAAGTCAACCTCGTGGAAGCCAATATACTAACCATGACAAAGCCCATGTTCTCCGATGCCTTTCAGTGGCACTTCCCCGTGCCCACGGAGGGTGACTGGTTGACGGTCATCGTCGACCTTCTCCGCCCACTCTCCCGCAACGGCGAGGTGAAGCTGAACTCCACCGACCCTCGCGACCAGCCGAACATCAACCTGAACTTCTTCTCGAACGACCTCGACATCATCGCGCTGCGAGAAGGCGTCCGGTTCGTGGACGAGATCCTGATGCACGGCGAGGGCATGAAGGACGTGATCCGGGAGGATTACCCCTGGCCCATGCCGCGACACTCGGACGAGGCGATGAATAAGATGATTCTCGAGCACTCGCAGACTGGATATCGTGAGTCTCCCTTCCTGTGGATGAGTAAGCCCCTGGCTAATACGTTGACAGACCCCTGTGGTACATCCCGGCTTTCTCAGTCCATTGAGCAGGGTGTGGTAGACTCGGAATTGCGCGTGCATGGCGTCAAACGGCTTCGCGTGATCGATGCATCTATCATCCCGATCATTCCGGATTGTCGCATCCAGAATGCGGTGTATATGATTGGAGAGAAGGTGAGTAGCAGATCGTTTTGAAAGTCGTGAATTGATGCTGATTGCTTTAGGGTGCGGATATGGTCAAGGCTGCGTATCCGGATCTCTACCAGTGAGGAGATGGCGGTTGGTGGAGCCGCCGATTGCGCCTTTTCTTGATGAATGATAATGTGTACATGTTGGTGGCTTTTGATTCCATAGTATATAGCATGTTCTAATCCCTTTCATATGTCCTTGATCATATTGTTTCTTGCTTCCTGAGGTAGTAGGAACGAACCTCTAAACCCCTGACTTTCCACTCAAGTTAGGTGTAAGAGATGTCGCGTATCTCCGTACAGTTCGAAGAAATACGAGCCACCGCCCCACCGCAACCACGGCGAGCAGCCGGCCATCGCGGGACTAACCGCAAACGTATAGATGTCAGACTCCCAGCCTAGCGCTGACGGCTTCATATACTACACTAGAAATAGAGTAAGATTTTCCAAGCAAAGCTTCTTATCTCCATGCTATTGGGGCGCTGGGAGCTGTTATGTCCGTCCTGCCGGGCGCTAAACCACGCCGCTAATATCCAAATTCGGACATAGGATTTTGTTGCTTCGGAGGTAACAGGGAACAGGGATTCATCTGCCATCTGCCCCTCTTCGATCTTTCTGTCGTACAGTACAGAGTACCCAGTATTTATATCTCCATCTCCTCCTCAATTCCTCCCTAGGCCTTAACATCAACACCAATTTACTCTCCCCCCCCAAGACCCTCAAAATGACCTCCAACAACCTCTCAACATGCTGCATAACGGGTACCCTCCACGAAGGCGAACCCAAGGGCACAATCCAAGACATTGAGAACAGTAAAATCACCCACCCCGATCCCCAACCCCCCGTTCCAAACCAGAATACTCATCCCCAACAGTCTCAACCTACATCACCCACCCCCCCACCGCAACCAAAAAAGCCATCCTCCTCCTCACCGACGTAATCGGCCACCGCTTCCTCAACGCCCAACTCCTCGCCGACCAATTCGCCGCCGCCGGGTATCTCGTCCTCATGCCCGACCTCTTCACCGGCGACAGCGTGCCCCTCAACCGGCCCGAGGGCTTCCAGATCATGGAGTGGGCCAAGGGCCACCAGCCGGCGCACACCGACCCCATCATCCAGACGGCCCTGAACCACATCCGGTCCACGCTGGGGTGTGAGCGGGTCGGCGGCGTCGGGTATTGTTTTGGGGGGAAGTATGTGGCCCGGTTTTTGAAGGTGGATGGGGGCTTGGATGTGGGGTTTACGGCGCATCCGACGATGATGACGGCCGAAGAGTTGGCGGCGGTGGAGGGGCCGTTTTGTGTTGCTGCTGCGCGTGAGTTTTTTCTGGGAGTTTTTGGGTGGATGAGAGAGGGGTGGGAAGCTTGGGGGAAGAGATTTTGCTAACGGTGTTTTCTTCCTGGGTAGAACATGATCCGATCTTCTCCGCGGAGAAGCGACGCGAGAGCGAGGAGATCCTTGGTAAGAAGGATCAGCCCTGGCAGATTAGTGTGTACTCCGATGTGGAGCATGGGTTTGCGGTGCGCGGGGATCCCGCGGCGCGGCGCGTGAGGTTCGCGAAGGAGCAGGCGTTTCAGCAGGCGGTGGCGTGGTTTGGGGAGTATTTGTGATTGGGATTTGGTGGTTGAATTCAGGAAGATGGGGAGAGTGGGTAGTAGATGAATGCCAAGGCTGGACTGGAAGTATCTTCCGAGAATGAGGCCTTTCTCTTATGTTCACTTCAAGTCAGCAAGTAGTGGAACGAGAGATTGATCCTCCACCATCGATGCTTCTCCATTACTCAGTCCATTTGCTACGTCTACTACGTATACAGCAGCATACCCCCCAAAAGCCAATCACATTGCGCAGCAGCGGTCTTAATCTATGCAGCCGTCGATGATATCCTCATCCGGCCCACACCCCCCGGTAACCCTCATGCACGATTACGCTCTGCACACCAATCACTCCCACCGGTCGGAGGATTCAGTCTGCAATAAATTCTCAGCTGCAGAACCCCCTCTTTCGATCATTTCACATGAATGACATGATATAAGAAACCCTTCCCCTGGCACAACCATGAACTCAGTCAAACACCCCTCAATCTGACCCAACCCACAGCATGATCTCCGCTCTCCTCGCCGCCCTCCTCCTCGTAGCGGGCTACTACCTGACGACAACCCTAATTTCGCGCCAAAAGCACCCACCTCTGCCCCCAGGCCCTCCCCGCCGACCCATCATCGGCAATCTCAACGACCTCCCTCGCCCCGGCCAACAGGACTGGAAACACTGGCTGAAGCATAAAGAGCTCTACGGTATGTTTATGTTCACCTCGTGTTCACAATAAAACCTGCCCCGCTCACAAGAGAGAGAAAAAAAAAAGGCCCCATCAGCTCCCTCAGCGTCCTCGGCCAAACCATCATCATCGTCAACGAGGCCCGCCATGCAGTCGAGCTACTGGAAAAGCGCTCGGCGATCTACTCCTCCCGCCCGCAGCAGAATTTCGCCGAGATGTGAGCATCTTCCCTCGCGCTTCTAATCTTACCCAACTCCATGCCCAATATACCCGAAGACTGACAAGCAACAACCCCAGGTCCGGATGGCACAACGTGCTCGGCTCCGTGAAAAGCACCGACCGCCTGCGCGCCACCCGCAAGAACCTCCACCGCGAGATCGGGTCGAACAAGTCGGTGGGCCGGTTCGATGCGGTGCAGACTGCGGAGGTGGGCCGGTTTCTGATGCGCGTGCTGGACGCGCCGGGGCGGTTGATGGAGCATATTCGCAAGTTCGGACCTTCCCCCCCCTTGTCCTTCTCTATCGTGGGCCGTTGTCGGTGGCAACAGAACAAAAGAGAGGCAAAGCTAATGCCCAAGCCTCAGAGAAGCCGGCGCCATCATCCTCAAGATCGGATACGGGTATACGGTTGAGCCGCACGGCCGGGATCCGCTGGTCGAGTTGGCCGATCGAGCGATGGAGGATTTCTCGGTGGCGATGTTGCCGGCGACGTATTTGGTGGATTACATTCCGTTCTGTATGTCCCATCCTCCCCTTAGAACTCAGCACTACGACTTTGTGATTAACTGTAACTGTGAGGGTGGTAGTGAGACACCTCCCCCCCTGGCTCCCCGGCGGCAGCTTCATCCGCACGGCGCGCGGGTACAAGCAAACCGTCACGGCCTTCAGCGACCTCCCCTACGCCTTCGTGCGGCACCAGATGCACCACGCCCACGGCCGCTACACGCCGTCCTTCCTGTCCAACCTGCTGGAGCACCAGCCCGCACTGCCCCCCGGCTCCGAGGCCGAGGTCACCGTGAAATGGTCGGCGGCGTCGTTATATGCTGGTGGAGCGGATACGGTATAGCCCCCCCTTTCTTCAAACTGACCAATCCAGAAACTGACGAAACGGTGGGTGGGATAGACCGTCTCCTCAATCGCCACCTTCTTCCTCGCCATGGCCCTCTTCCCGGACGTGCAGCGCAAAGCCCAAGCCGAACTCGACTCGGTCCTCGGGGCTGCGGATCGGCTGCGGCTGCCCACCTTCGCGGACCGCGAGAGCCTGCCCTACCTGAACGCCCTCATCAAGGAGGTCTTCCGGTGGCATCCCGTCGTGCCGATGGATCTTCCGCATGTGGTGACCCAGGAGGATGAGTATGAGGGGTACTGGATCCCGAAGGGGGCCTCGGTTTTGGCGAATATTTGGTTTGTTCTGCCTTTTTCCCCTCTTTCTTTGTCCCGGTTGCTTGGTTCTGTCGCGCCGCGGAGAGGGGTGGTGGTTTTGTGGCCTTGTTAAAAATTGGTATGCTAACTTTTTGTCGGGCAGGGCATTCACCCACGACCCGGATGTGTATCCTGATCCGGAGGCGTTTAGGCCCGAGCGGTTCCTGCCTGATGCTGCTGCTGCTGCTGCACCCGGTGCTGGTGTTGGTGGTGAGGGCGGTGGTGGCGGGGGTGGCGTCCAACGAGACCCCCACCTCCTGGTCTTCGGGTTCGGGCGTAGAGTCTGCCCCGGACGGACCCTGGCGGATGCGAACGTCTACCTGACTATTGCCCAGGCGCTAACGGTATTTCGGATCCAGGGGCCCGAAGGAAACCCCGAGTGGAAGCCTGAGTTCGTGCCGGGGGTGATCAGTCATCCTGTCGTGCCGGCGGGGTTGAGGATCGAGGCGAGGAGTGAGGCCCATGCAGCGTTGGTGAGGGAGGTGGAGAGGGCGTATCCTTTTGAGAAGAGTCATTCGGAGGAGTTGGTGGGGTTGTCTTATTAGTTCTATAGTGGGTGGTTGAAGAGGTACACATGAGGGTTGATTAGGTATATAGTATTGGCTATGAAAGTAAAGAATAGATGTTGGGGGTATGCATCCCCCGGTATTATTAGAGACAACATGCATTAGATACAACATGCATCCTGCGGACTCCTGGTTGGAATGGAAACTATTGCTCCAGAGCAGAGCAGCCCAGTGCCAGAACGCCGTTCTATTTTTTATTAGTATACCTTTCCACTGAGGCGTGATGTTTAGCGGAGACTCACCAAGAGGTTCACTTCGGAGCAGCACTGCGGCTTCGTTGTGCAGGTGGTGTCGTAAGGCTTGCCTATAACCATAGCGTTAGCATCAACAATGACAAACCACCTAGGAAACGGACGTACAGAGAAGACCAACGGAGCCGACGATACTGCCAGCGTTGATGTCCAGATCCGCAAGGATGGGGTCCAGGAGCGGGTCCAAGGGAGTGGTCAAGGTGCCGCAGCACAGCACCGGGGCGATGCACTGCGACTGGTCGACCGTGCTCTCGCTCGTGGTAGAGGTGGTCTGAGCGGCGACGCCCTTGACTTGGTTCTCAAGGGTCTGCGAGTCGGATTGAGGGGCGGGCACGGCGGCGACGAGGCCGGCGATGGTCAGGATAGAGACGGTGAGGGAGAGCTTCATGGTCGTGGTTGGGTTGGGATTGTGTGGTTATGAGAGGTATGGCTTGCTGTAAGAGAGGTTTGTGATTTGATTGTGTTGTAGTGTTGTTGAGCTGGGGTGGCATGTGCTATTTATCTTCAGAGGAGACTGCGACTCGAAGGAATAACCATCCAAGTATACAGCATTTCCAAGAACTACTAGACAATATCCTCCGTTATCGCAGTCGGACATCCGGATTGAAGGAGTCTCAAAATCCAGTCCTCAGCCAATTCTCCATGCAGAGAACAACCGGCTGGGACGGATGCCGGCCATTACAGTGGTGGCAACGCGATATTCACAGTCGATTCAGGATGGACGGCGAGACCTGGCAGAGAGGGCCATGCTGCAGGTACCGAGGAACAGGTAAAAGGCAATCTCAAAATTGAGGCGAGTGGTCTCGGGCCTGTCATCCGTCCCTGTCTTATCAGCCACCCGGTCTGGGTGCTTTTCTGGTACCAAATCAGCGGGCGTACCCACAGTAGCTGAACATCGGGGAGCATGATAACGATGCGTGTGGGCGCTGCTGTGGACTGGATCTCTGATACTTGTGAGGTGCCCGTGGCAGAATCGAATTGATAAGTATGGATGATCTTCGCTGGACAAAAGATCGACCTTGCTTAATGGTGTGGCACCGATTTCGGATGCGGTCATACCATAGTTGACTTAGCTGCAGCTCCAGAAAGTATCGAGCAGCCTCGCTTATCGCAGGGATACTGAGGTCAATAGACAGATATTTTGTCAATGCAATAAACATGGTAGTCGATCATTGAGCATTTTGAGATTATCACGCATCATCCGCAACTCCGCTAGGTTTGGCGGACGCATCTTGACTCCGCGACGATCCCAGGAGAATGATTTGCATTGTTATCAGCTTCAAACTCATTTCATTACCCATATTCATATAGATAAAGTATGAAGTTGTTAGACCATGACAAATAGCTGTGCTGTCTATGTTGAGAGACAGCATCGAAGCATTAACAGAACGCAAACCCGCCAAGCATGTGGATACAACACTGATAGCGATAGCAGCCCGATAAGTTATGCGCGTATCACTGACTCAGCAGCACACACCGACAATGTGTACAGATTTATAGTGGCGGTGTGATCCGCACCAGCCACATGCCAAGCCCGCACCAGCCACAAACTCGCGACACAAAAATTCCCTCGAATTGGCAAAGTCGATCTCATTTCAATATCCGTTGACCGACCAGCCCCTCCCCCAGACCACCTCTCCTATCTCGCTGGGTCGTCTTTTTTTCCCGTCATCTTTCCCTCTAACATCTCCCCCCCACACAGAGCTATACACATAATCATGGCTCCCATTTCCATCGCCGACATCGTCGCCGCCCTGCCGGCCGACGACACCTGGGGCCCCGCCTCCGCCGCCGACAACATGCTCGACGGCGTCCCCTATGCTCCTTTCTCCAAGGGTGACAAGCTGGGCCGCATGGCCGACTGGACGGCCGAGTCCAAGGACCCCAACCGGGCCGGTCGTCAGGCTTACAACCGTAACTTCCGAGGTACGTTGCACGCTTCCTTCTTTCTTGTGTTTCACGGCGGAAAGGCGAAAAACGAAGACAAAAGAAAAGGGGAAGGAAGTATCGTTGTGTGTGGACCACCAAACTAACAACCCCATCCAACCCTCCAGACCAGCAAGTCTACGGCGCCGGATCCTCCAGCCTGTTCTCCGTGGCGGTCGCCGAAGACGAATCCTCCTTCTCCGTGGTCGACAACACCCGCAGCTCGACGAAGCGCACCTTCGGCCGCGGCGGCGGCACGGTGTTCCGCGGCCGGGCCCAGCGCGGCGGCGCCCAGCGTGGCGGACGCGCAGGCTTCCAGCGCGTGGGCGGCGGTGGTGCCGGGGGCCGTGGGGGCGCGGGCGGGGACCGGTACTACGACAACCGCAGCGGCGGCCGGGGCAACCGGGGCCGTCGGTTCGGGTGGAAGGACTACGACAAGCCGCAGCGCACGCGCGAGGCGTCGGTGGCCGTGCGGCCCGACTGGACGATGCTGGAGGAGGTGGACTTCAGCCGGCTGTCGAAGCTGAACATGGAGGCGCCGGAGGGCGAGGAGGTCGACTCGTACGGGTTCATGTACTACTACGACCGGTCGTACGACAAGGCGCCGGTCAAGAACGCGGAGCGCCGGCTGCAGGCGCTGGACCGCGCCGCGTACAACGTCACGACCTCGCAGGACCCCGTCATCCAGGAGCTGGCCGAGAAGAACGAGGCGACGGTGTTCGCGTCCGCCGACATCCTGTCCACGCTGATGTGCGCGCCCCGCAGCGTCTACTCGTGGGACCTGGTCATCGTCCACCAGGGCGGCAAGATCTACTTCGACAAGCGCGACGGCGCCTCCCTGGACCTGGTGACGGTCAACGAGAACGCCGCCGACGCCCCGCTGGAGCTGGCCGACTCGTCCGCCGCCACCGCCGCCGCCGCCACCAAGCAGGAGGGCGCCGCGATTAACACGCCCAGCGCCCTGGCGCTCGAGGCCACCTTCATCAACCACAACTTCGCCCTGCAGACCGTGGTCGAGTCCGAGGAGAGCAAGGTCGAGCTGGCCCACCCCAACCCCTTCTACAACGCCGCCGAGGAGACCGAGCCCCTCGCCTCCAAGGGCTACAAGTACCGGCGCTTCGACCTGTCGCTGGAGCGCGACGAGGGCCAGGAGCCCGTGCACATGATCGTGCGCACGGAGATCGACGCCATCATGAAGAACCCCACCGGCGGCGAGGACCAGCAGCTGGTCGTCAAGGCCCTGAACGAGTTCGACAGCAAGGCCCAGGGCTCCGGCGGCGCCCTCGACTGGCGCTCCAAGCTCTGGTCCCAGCGCGGTGCCGTCGTCGCCACCGAGATGAAGAATAACTCCTCCAAGCTCGCCCGCTGGACTACCCAGGCCATCCTCGCCAAGGCCGACGCCATGAAGCTCGGCTTCGTCTCCCGCGCCAACCCCCGCTCCGCCGCCGCCCACGTCGTGCTCGGAGTCGTCGGCTACAAGCCCCGCGACCTCGCCACCCAGATGAACCTCAACCTCGGCAACGGCTGGGGCATCGTCCGCACCATCGTCGACCGCATCCGCGCCCTCGACGCCGACGAGGACGACGATAAGGTCAAGAAGTACGTCCTCATCAAGGACCCCAACCGCCCCGTCCTCCGCCTCTACAGCGTGCCCCCCACCACCTTCGAGGAGGATGAGGAGGTCGCCGCCGAGGAGCAGGAGGCCGCCGAGGAGGATGAGGAGTAGATTTTTGGGCGGCTTTCTACCTCCATCATTATATCCTAGTCATGAATTTGGTTCGCTGTGATTCTTTTTCCATCCTGTCCACGTCAAAAGTTCTTAGGTTTATGAACGACTATCTATGTTTTCCAAACTTATTTTCTCACTTGGTAATTTCACCCTGTAGACAAACCTTGTCTCGTACATCGGCTCACTCCATTCTTGCATTTGTCTTACGTACACAAGTACAAGATAAGGATGTATGGTAGTATTCGACGACATCAGGCATATCACAACTATGTAACCTTTTGTCCTTCATTTCCCCGAACCATACTTAGAATAATACGCCAAAGAGAAGACGCCCAAGCATCAGTTAACGAATCTCACTGCACAATCTCAAACCGCACCTCCTTCTTCACCCCAAAAACATCCCTCCACTCCTCCCACAACCGCCGCAACTCTTCCACGTACATCCGATGCACTTCCTCCACATAAGCCTCGTCCTGCACATACCGCTGCTCCTTGACCGGGATCGGTTTCCCGACGACCACATGGATCGGCTTGCGGAACGGCACCGTCACTCCCCACCGTCCGCTGATCACCCGAGTCGACTTGCCGGTGATAGCCTTCCAGGCTTTCGCACCTGCCGTGAACAGGCCTCCCCGGTCACCGTCCTGCTGCTTCTGACCTTCCCCCTCCCAGTGGCTCGAAGCTGCCTCACTGCTGTTTGCATCATTCTCTTCGGGATACGCGACGTCAAAGACCTCGTTTTCTCCAAACGCCACCACCGGCACTAGGCTCGCGCCCATCTCGATCGCAACGCGAATGAACCCCCTGCGCACCCCCAACACCAAATCCATGCGGCCAGGACGGGCGATGCGCGCCTCGCGATCGCCACCCACGCAGATGGTGATCGCCTGCCCAAGTCCGTTGCCGTCGTGGCCGCCGGACGACAGGAGCTTAATGCATGACGCGCGACTGACGCTGCCGATGCCCAAACACAGGGCGTACTCGCGCAGCAGGGGGGCGCGAAGGACCTTGTCCGACACCAAGAGAGTGTGATTGAGACCAGGAAACAGCGTGTCAAAGCCGGCGCCTTGGGTGGCGAGGGCGCCGATGGCACCGCGGATGGAAATGCCGTGTGGGTGGTATCCGAATATGTACTTTTGATAAGGAGCCAAGGGAGTGATGCGATAAAGCTTGAGAGGGAAGTAGTTGGCATAGAGTGACCAGAGAGGAGAATTTCGAACGGCGGAGGACGGGGAAGGAAAAGAGGGGAGAGAGGTGGGAGGGAAGTAGGTTATCATGAGGACGTAGACTGGATACAAAGTGCGGATGAGAAGCGGAATGGGAAGAGATGGGATAAGGACGAGGATTAGAAGAGCGTAGCCCAGGATAGGAAGGAGGAGGGACGTGTTGGTTGTAAGAGCGACGAAGAGTGTGCTGGCAGCAGTATAAAGTCTGGTTCTTGTGGTTAAAAATCATGAACACTTGATATGCATTTGAAACAAATGCAGGGAGGGAATACTCACTTTGAGGTTGCATATTTGTCCAAATGAGGACGATTGACGGTCTCTAGAATACCTCCGAACTTATTCCTGATTGTGCGCAGCTTGTCCTTCGGATACTGATTGACTTCTGGGATCGGCAAGGCCATTCTCTCCGGGTGGTATGCCAACTCAGCGATCTTCTCGGCACCTACGACTCGTCCTTCTCTTTTGCAGCACAGTGCAGATAATTCCTTTGCCTTGGCCTGCATTGTGACATTGCCGACGACCCTGATTAGAGCCCGGCCGAACTCATCTGCATCCACTGCTGGAGCAGCTGTTTTGTTTGCGTACACGCCGATTCCGAGCCACTCTGTACGCACAGCATTTTCATAGCAGTCTTGCCAACCTGGAAGAACGACGTGAGGTATGCCAGACCTGGAACGTATTACTATCTCTACTCCGCTGAGTCGAAGAGTGAAACTTACTGAATAGCCTCGTACCATGAGTTCGCACCACCATGATGCACGGAACAGACAATCTGCCCTGTCTGCAACATCGCCAATGGCTCGACCTGAAACCATGGTTGAATGCGCACCCGGTCATCTTTGATCTCAGCAGCCAGTATTTCTTCCGCCTCTTCAAAAACATGCGCGCAATCCTGCGTATGTTTTGGAAGCTTCCACAGCACTTGGAACTTATCCGTCCGTGAGTCCAGAAAACTCCTCACCCCTGAAGCGATATTTCTAGCCATCACTGGATCTGGCGCATACAAGGTCCCCAGGTTAATCAAGATTGTAGGTGCCCGGTGGAGCCACCGATGCAGCTCCGGATCCTGCGTCTTGACAGGCGCAACGGGTAATAGAATGGGACCACAGGGGAGGACATTCTCGGGGACTTCCATCGGCCAATCCAGCTCTTTCAGACCTGGAGCCAGATGAAATCGGTCGGGTCGCCACGAATCCGCAAAAGGGAATCGGCCCTGGATACCATGTCGCTTCCGCCATTCACGAATCTGTCGTTGACGGCCGCTACGGCGGTAAAGCTTGGCGACATCCATGGCGGCCCTGGTGTTGGAAGGCACAAGGCTCCAGGGAAGTGGATAGGGAAAGTCAGTCCCTGGCCTAGTGCACAGTCAGCCACATGCATTGGTTCATTGGGAAATGCATAGCGAATTACAAGGGAAATTTCCACGCCCATCCAGCAAAAGGCTGGAGCCCATACACCACATGGGATAAGGAGGTCGTGTAAAGAACAATAGCCTGGTGGCCCGCATTATACGCTGCGTCTCGTCCCTGAGGGAAAAAGCAGTCGACGAGGACAACGCTCGGTTCGATAGCCAGGACTGTCTCAAGACAGCTGTCATACACCTGCAGATACTCTTCCTCATTCCAGGCCCAGATTTCCTCAAAAAGCGATTTGAACCCCTTCAATGCGCCTTGATAACCGGGAGGATGGCAGATCGTACGTTTTCCTGTGCGTGCAAAAGCCTCACTGTTCGAGGGGCCGTTGAGAGGGTGAAAATGAATGCGCGAGCGAACTCCGTCGCTGTCGAGGTTGTTATCTACAAGCAGCTTCTCGATGCGTGGTTTCAAGGTCGGAAACGAGGCGATGTGCACGTCGGTGTCACCTCGCACCAGCAATTCATGAGATAATGCGAGAATCAGGTTCGTCTGCCCATGTTCACTGTTGGCAAGAAATAGCACGCGGGGCCTCTGTGTTGGTAGCGGTGATTGCGGTGGGGATGGAGTCTTCTTGCGAGTACTGCGACGCCGCAAGACAGGCGCTTGCTTTCTAGAGGTCCGGGACTTCTTCATGGTGGGCGAGTGTACGTGCGTGCGGCCTCACTGCATGTGCTGCATGTAGAACAGACGGCACGTTCTGGTAGAAGTTGGAGCACATGGGGATATAAATGGGGACTGTCAATCAAGGAGGTGCCTGGCCTGGACGCAAGGTTGACAACAGGGAGGAATGCTCTCTTGTTTCAAGGGATAGTGGAGGGAATGCCATGGTGCAGGGGAAAGGAGGGGTAGCATTCGCATGATGTGAGCTTAAAATTAAGCAAGAAAATAAGCAAAGGAGGTGTGAAGCTGAGATGAATTGAGTGAAGAAAGTATAGGAGGATAGATAGTTTAGATTGCCAGAGTAGTTAGTAGTAGAGTAGTGGTAGTAATCTCCGGACCCCTGGTAGATCTACCCGAGACCGCTGGATGTTGGGGAGATCTTCCCCAGAAAGAGGGAATGCAGCTTTTTCCATTCAGCCCTGGGCCAAAACCGGAGTATAAAAGATTTGAAACCGCAATGGGAACGTGTGTGTAGCTCGAGAGTTTTGCCAAGGGGAAAGGGGGATTCCAAAAATTAGAAAGAAGGAGTATGAAGCTGCCAGATGAGAGATGAGAGGATGTGGGAGTGTAAGAGAGTCTAGCCCCGTTAGTCATCGCGCTAACTAACTAACTAATGCTTTCTTTCTCCTTCCCCGCCTCCAGTCCAGCCAGAATAATCATCTCTCCAAAAGATCTACGGAGTACAGCCAGCTTGACCTCTCTTCTCCTTCTTACTCTCTAATTCCTCAATTTAAAGTCAATTCACTTCTTTTCTTCCCCTCCCTCCAGTGATATCACCTAGTCATCCTCAAACACTCAAACACAATGCCTGAACAAATCTCCCATCGGTCCAAGCCTCGTCCCACAGCCTCCTGTCTTCCCTGTCGTGCCCGTAAAGTGAAAGTATGTCTCTCTCTCTTTCCCGTTCCTTCCCCTTTCCCCTATTTGCTTTATCAGACATATAAGTATCATTACCTTTTATCCAACTTAATTCCTTCCCCTCCCCAAAGAGAAACCGAATCTGCCCACCTACCTTTCAAGACCCCAGGTCTATCAGTCTATCAGTCTTCATTCAACCTATTAGTACATGCATGCCCCTGTAGCTTCATCAAACAACATAGAATCTCCAAAACTGTCTTCCAGCTTCACCAACGAGAACCACTCTCCCAAAGAAAATCGCACTTTATAAGCCTAACATTAACAACCCCAGTGCAACCGCCTCACCCCCTGCGCCACATGCGTGGCACGCAACACCCCGCAAGAATGCAAGTACGCCGCTCCGGATACCGATCGTCAAGCCATTGCTCAAGCCGAGCTGATCGCGGGGCTCCGAAGCCGGGCGAACCAATTGCGCGATCAGCTGGGCATGGCGCGGGGGCTCGAGATCTTGGAGATTGAGGATCAGCAGCCATCCCCAGAGTCAGACAGCGAGCAGGAAGAGCAGTATGCCTCGATCGAAAACGAGATCGGAACGGGGGCCCCGTCACGGAAGAAGGAGGATCAGTTGGCCGAGCTGGAGGTGGTGTATGCGGCGTTGAGATGGGGAACGGGTGCGACAGTAGAGGAAGTCATCCGAAGGATTCGGAGAGGGGAGCCGTTGGGGGACATTGCTCAAGGAGTGGAGTTGGGGATGGGTCCGGGATTAGAAGACGGTGTGGTGGTCCTGGATTGATAGAAGCGGTGGTCAGTCTGCCCAGAGAAAATAGAAGATATTGCATATATCTAGTAGTCATCATCGCATTGCGTTACATGACATCGTCAGTGTTGCACAGTTGGTTGTACAGGGCGTGGTGGTGCGAGCTGAGTTCGAACACAGCAGCTCCCATTACGCAGCCACCCGCCGACAGAAACAGAGAGGTGGGACGAGACCACGGGATGGCGAGGCCTGGCGCAAGTCAGGCTGGCGTCAAACGGAACAGAAACAGAAATCCTGACGGATCACCACGGATTATGTACAATGTCGTTGGAAGGAAGGTAAAGGGGAAAGGGAAAACAAGAGAGGCGGGAAAGAGAAAACCTGGGGCTCCGCTAGTACTTTTGTTCATCAGTGCCAACCATGACTAGGATAGATCATCGCCCGGATTGCAAACATGCTGCTCGGCTTTCGTATCCAGCACACTGGTAAGGCAATCCATAAGCTCAAAGTCTTCCACAACGGCCCCAAAACCATAGCAGCGGACCTTGGTATTGAGGGTTTCGACGATGATTTTGACATCTTCCCGAGTCAGCCGACCATAGAGTTGGTGATTTTTGAGGCATTGCAGCGCCATGATCGGCGTGATCTGCCCCTCCGTCACCAATTGTCGGCTGAGATTGAGGAGCGTGGTCAAATTGACGTGCGGCAGGTCGTACGTCTTGTGTGGGTAGGTTTGCTCGTTCGTCGTCGTGGCGATGTAGCTGGGGGGTGGACAGGTGGCCATCAGCGCATGCCCTGAGAACGGCATGTCTTCATCGTCCGCCTCGGTGATCGATCGGCGGCAGAGGTAGTCGGTGTGTTCTCGACAGGGCGATTCCAGTCTGGATCAACGTCAGTTGCATGGGATTGGTCACCAAGAAAACACACTTACGTCAAGATGAAATCGATTTGGAGCTGAGGATCCGCCTCGAAGATGCCGGGTAGCTGGATCGGGGCGCGGCTGGCGGGAGCGATCTGATCGAGAGTGGCCAAGGCGTCACAGGGAGCAGCCTGATAGGCTGATTGAGGCGGCGCCAGCTCCTGAGTGGGCGACACATCGATCTGCTCAACGCCATGCGTACTCGGACTCAGGCTGGCAGAGACCGTCGTGGGCGGCGTGGTGTAGACGGGACCTCCGTTAGGGGCGACGTTGCTCGGCTGCGAGGCGACACTGCTACTGGCAAAAGGACTCGAATGATAGCCCATGCTCCCGCGTTCCGCCTTGCGACGTTCGAGTTCCGGCTCGAAGTTGATACCATGGGCCACAAGAATCTCTTTAAGAATATTATTCTCGTCGGAGAGCGTTTGCACCATGTCTCGATGTTGCACGACCGTTAAATTGGCAGCCGAGATCTCCTGCGTGTAGGCCTCTCGCAACCGGGACACTTCCGTCTCCAGCGATCGGATATACTGTTCCTTACGTTCCCGATGGGTTCTGCGCCAACCGTTTGTATACAAACAATGATTACCCCAGGTGGACGGGTTACGTACCTCTGGGCCTGGCGATTCAGTTCCTGTCGTCGGGTCATGGCCGGTTTGCTATCCGGCTTCGGACCTCGTCGTTTTGCCGGTTGCCCATCTAGCGTGGGGGAGGAAATTAGAGCTGAAAAGGTAAACGGATCGGACCGTGGGCTCACACACCTCGCGTGACTTTCTTCTGCGTACCACCAAAGAATTTGAGGAAATCGGCGCCTATGGTAGAAGGTCGAGATCCGGGTTGGCCTATTGAGTCGCAAGTTAGCTGGAAATACGCGACACAGTCGGGATACAATATGAGTGCAAGACAGTCGAGACTTTTTGAGTCAAAGCCAATGCCACACTGACTTCCACAGCACGAACCATGGAAAGACGGGTCACGGACCATCAAGCATCTGGACCCAGAAAAGGCCGAAGAAGAGGCAAATCTTGGAACAATGATCTCAGAGAAAGAGGAGAGTGAACTTACTCTGTGAGCCATCTGGCGGAAGTGTCTGACGATTTGCATTCGTGAGGTCCAATGGCATGGGGCCACCGTTTATCGAGGCCATGGTGGTTGTCGCAAAGAAGAATGGAGGAAGCGTAAATGCGACCGGCGCAGTCAAAATAGAAGGGTGACAGAGTGCGTGTGCGGTGGACGAGGAAATGACCGTCGATAGAGGTGGGTGGGCGGTGGTGGGAAGAAGAGACGCAGAGAAGTAGAGAAGAAGATAGAATAGATCGAGTGTGAATCCCAAACAACTCCAAGCTGGCCCATCTGGACCGTTGTCAGCCTTAAAAATCGCGGCGCTGGGTTTGAGAAGCGGGTGGATGCTGGCCGTCGTCCAAGCGTTTAAAGCTCCGATTCTACCACGCGTGGAATTGGATCCATTGTACCTACCGATGGATGGACAGTCGGCTGTGTTTCCCCGTTGGGTGAATCCCCGGGATTGCGAAGTATGGATGAGCAATCACCACGAGCACTCAATCAGTATGGCTAAAGGGCAGATGAGGTGAGGAAAACAAATTTTGTCTGTAAGACCGGTAAAGGAGGAATGAATGTGAAGAATTAGAGGATGGGAGAAGAGAGTGAGGGAGAGAGTGTGTGTGAGAAAGAGTGAGAGGAGGGGGAGGGGAGAGATCGGATAATGGATAACTACTAGTTAAGTTACTAGGTAGTTAGCAGTGGCAAGAGTGACAGAGCTCCAGACTGGAATTGACCTGGCCTGGACTGGACGGAAATGAATCTCAAGCAGAGTGATTGGTTCTCACTACAATCAAGACTTAGAGAAGGAACAAGGAATGACTGCTGATGATAAAAGGTGGACTCGGGATATGAAAGGTCTCACTCATACTATGTAAGCTCTTCTTCTTCTTACCTAGGCTGTTCCCCACGCCGCCTTCAAATCCATGCATGTTCTGTCGGGGAAGTGCCGGGGACCATTGGAAAGATGGAGGATAATACCGGACTAGGTACTCCGTAGTTACTACCTAGCTGCCAACTTATAGCCTAAGGAGCTCAGGCCAACTGATTTTGTACATACATACTCGTACTTCGTACTCCGTACTCCGTACATAACTGTGCATCACTTTCTGCCCTCCGATCTGATCAATCCAGCGGGTAATAGCAATTGACATTATAGGTCTACTTGAAGGAATCCTCCGCAGCACACCAGATCCGATCTTGTCTCGGCATTTCCACCCGTCAAGTTCTGTGAGTGCCCAGTGTTGTGATTCGACTGCTAAATCTGGTTAGAGCCTTAATTCACTCTTTCCGTAAACTCTCCTGCAGCTCAGTATTCGTACATCGTACGAAAAGCAAAACGCCAAGTGGAGCAGGAAAGTGGATTCGATCGGCCAAGGGGAGAGGGAAAAAAACGGGCAACTGGTCATCGTCGATAGGCGGCTAGACAGACACCACCCGCCGAGGCTGCCACCACCATCTCTAACCGACCGCAACGGCCCAGCAATTCGTTCAGCTTTGAAGATGAAAGGCGGCAATATCTCTCGGAGTACCTGTAGGTACGGAGTACATTTGCAAAGATACTCTTCTAGGTCATGTCAATAGGTAACAATTGGATTGATCTTCTTCTTTCCAGCGTCGCAGTCGGGTTTGTTGGTTGGATCGATCGTCCCTGAGCCGGTGCTACAGCCCACCTGTCGTCTGCTGTGGAACGCCTGCCTGCCTGCCTGCCTGCCTGCCTCGCTTGTCACTCGGGGACGCAGCCGGCTTGACATCTCTGAAATTCCGGGACGCCTGTGCAACATCAACGCGTCGCCAATAATTTATTGCCTAGGACCTTTTGTTGAGCGCAGTCTCTGCCGCGCCCTCTTTTCCTCTTTCTCTTTCCTTAGACTGACCGGTAATTCTCATACTACTCTTGACTCTGTTCCATATTCCCACTCTTCCATTGTCTCTCTCCACTCCGAATTGTTTACCTTTATCAGTTCAGACCCATCAGCTCCACCGTGCAGAGAAAGCCCTCAGTCTAATCAATCTAGTGGCCCCGGTCCAAAGTGGTGCTACCGTGCTAGTATCCGTTGCGCTCCATTAGTGGCAGGAACCGCACACTTTGTTTGATTGTTATGGTACGATTCCCAACGCTCCGGCAGAGCTGCGCCATTATTGGATCCGAGTCAAGCCCATATCCACCGAAAACTCTCCTCTACCGGCCTTTTCAGGTACATCGCGGTTCATGGATGGTTTGTCCGTACGGACCAATGGGGGCAGCTGTTGTGTCACGTATCTGTGGCTGCCGCAATACTGGTGCTTTCACATCTGTCACTTGCTAACTTCGTCCAATTTGATTGATTCGGTAGATCAGGAGATGAGCGCCTTCTATTAGCGCCGGTTGTGTTCACGTATGCTCGCATTCTGAAGCCTGAATGATCCCGGACCGTGCGGTGATCGAAGCTAATCGTCAAGGCGCCTTGCGAAAGCCAGATAGTTCGAATCACTTTTGATTCGCAATTGCATTTAGGGCGGCATCGCTTCTGCACAATCTCATCGGAAGATTACTGAGTAGTGCAAGTAGCAACGAATGTATTTGTTCCAGCAACCATTCAGCAACACGTTCCGGTCGCAGATCGCATTCATAGACTAGTTGTGGACTATGTGTGGCAGGTAAACCTTCTTTGACAGTCAGCGAGTGTGACGAAATCACTGAATAGGATTTGTGAGCGTAGAAGTGGCCTTGAGGCAGTCTCCAAAACTCAAGGCTGAACAATCGGCAAACAACAATGACGATCGTCGGTAGATGGTCACTCAATAGAGTTAGTTGAGTGGTCTGCCGGACCGAAAGCAAAAGCCGAGACAATACCGCCCAAGCTGTCCTGGATCCCGGGATTGTCTATCTCTTACCCAAGTGTAGTTGAGTGGATTTTGAGAACTTGAAGGAAACTTGGAGATGCGCATGCGCCGGAACTATTGAAAGGTGATCAGCGGCCTAAGGCTAACAATCTGGCCCAGACGGGCAGGCGGCGAGACTCAGCTCTTTCTCCGCTCGGCCTTGGACCTTTTGACCTTTGCCCCTCCCCTCCTTCTCTTTCAGCTTCGTTCCCATCCACAGCCCCTTCACCTTGACCAGACAAGAAGGTATAGGGATTGAAAGTCAAAGCGAGATCCACCATGTGCGCGCAGGGATTTTGTCCATTACCTCCCCGATGCCATGCTCGACTCCGAAATCCTCATTCACATCTCCGCGCCCGGGACCGTCCGTGACGATGCACGCTATCGGGCTCAAGTCGAGGCCATCCTCGCATTCCAGGCCTCCACCCGCCAAGTGATCACCTTGCGATCGGACAATGACCATACCGATGAAGTGAACACTGCCGACAGCGCACAACTGGCCGCCTCATCGGCGGCAGTAAGATCGACCGCGAACACCAATAGTGGTGAGGCTAACGATGATGATCGAGAGCTTAACACTGGCTCTTTGCATATACCTCTTCGGCAACCAGAAACAATACCAGTCTTGGCCGGGGTCTTTTCACCTGGCCAGCAAACTCAGCACGTCGCCGACTCTCTCGGAACCCCCATTAGTGTGGTTCCAGACTCGCAACCCGAACAAACTCAGCAGGATATCCTCGCCTCGCAAGATATCAATTCTCCTGTCACTGCCACCGTACGCGCTCACAGATCATCGCCACCTACAACCGATGTACATACAGCGAAGCGAAGCGGGGTAAATCCTCCAATACCGGAGAGAAAAGAGTATACCAGCTCTCCGGACCGCGTCCGACATGACGCTCCGCCCGTGCGACCACAGCCCGATCACGCCCCGCAGGAGACGTTGTCTCCTGTATCTGTATCGCGTCGCAAATATGATCTGCCACCTGTAACAGACGTTCCTCCAGCGAAGCGGAATCGGGTTAGTCCGCCTGGTATACCCGAAAAACAGGGAGATGACGAGCCTCTGCCCGGAACCCAAAACGAACCAAGTTATTATCAGCCGTGGCATGAGCACGCACAATCCACCCCATCCGTCCCTAATCTCTCTTCAGCACTTGATGCCCCTTGCCACGACACGCCCTCTACGAAAAATGCCCTAGTAACGACGCCCCTCAAGATCCTCCCGCCATTACCCCCAGTCTCCAGATTACCCTTCAAAACCCACATCACTTCAACCCTCGCGATGCTAGCCACGCGTCTCCGCTCAGGACGAACGTATACCCCCGTCAAACAAACGCGAGATCTGGACCCCCTCGAGCGAGGCTACTGGTTCCTCCAATTGAATCTCATTCCATCCGAATCCTCGCCATCACCAGCTGTGACCCAAGGCAATTTCGTCAGCACCAACACCAGTACAACCTGGGACGTCTCCTTCTTCACCCGCTTCTGGACTTTTTTGTCCGATTTCATCAACAAGGAGGGTCGTGCAGGCTGGGGCGTATGGTGCATTCTCGAGGATGCGCAGCCGCCAACATCCCTGCAGGAACCCAAAAAGTCGACCCCCGAACCCCCCATTTCCCTGCCAGGTGCAGCGGCGGTAGAAACGCAGCGCTTGACGCTCAAAATCTACGCGTGGGGGGAGATTGCCTCGCATATATACCTGCTCTTGTTTCTAGCTAGTGAGCGACGGATCCGGCGCATGCGGGCGCAGTGGCGCGACGGAGGTGATGAGGTTATCATAGAGATGCCGTAGCTTCCCCCCCTGGTACTGTAGCAGATCTGACCAGGGAATACTTTTCTTGGACGTAGTTGGCTACATTGGCTATTCACCTACTTCCAGTATATAGATTTCTCACTCGATACCCAATATCAATTAGGTTTTCGTTTTCAATCTGAGCTCGAAGATATCATAAGCACATGCACGCAATGGTTCTTCCAACGTCGGATGCCAGATTTGACCCGCCTCTCTTCGCGGCATTGAACCCTCCTCCGCCCCCCTTTCCAAGCATTCATTCGTGTCTTATTATTTCAGGTAAAATGTAAAGACACAGTCTATTTCCAAGCACTGGGGCAGTCAAGTACATTGATTGGGTAAATGGCACCCACCATCGAACAAAGTCCTTGTGCCGGCACAGTCCAGACAAGACACCGTAACAGGCTCCGCTGAGGTCCTCCGTCTCTGGGAAGAGGCTGAACCAGATATATAGGGCCGACAGCCTTTCGAGAAGCAGCGCCCAAGGCGAGATTTCACTGGCCAGCCCCGTCCCGTTTTTAGAGCCAATCCTGCCAGATCAACAAGCCTCACTTTACCCAGACAACCCAGCACGTGGATTTCAGCATGAAAAGCAAGCAAATCCACCTCAGCACGTTCAGAGAACCAAGTCGGGCCATGGTCAGCGGTAGCGAGTCCGTGAGGAGAGTGTGTATCACCAGAAAGAAAAGCACGCGATTCAATCATGTGGCCGAGCTGTTGAGATGGTAGAAGATATGGTTGAACCAAGTCTCGAAATCCATGTTGTCCGGGTGCGGATCAAAGGTGGACTGAGAGTCGGGAGTAGCCGTGTTACTTGGACTGCGATAAGGTTCGGAAAGGTCGGGGGGCATGGGTAATGTAGTGGTGGCGGTGGTGCTGCTGCTAATGCTGGAGTTCCCTTGTGTGGTCTGGCCAAATCGGAGCACATCAGCCACCGCGCGATAGAAATCCAAGTCCAGGTTCCCCTCCGAGGCAAAAATTGCATCGATGAGGGCAACGCCTCTCTGCGCGAGAATATCGCTCTTCTGGTCTGCGAGGCGGTTACGTGCGGCCAGAATCGCCAGCCGGAATTTATCGGTCTCAGGACCTCCGGTGCTATCATTTGAGGCGACGCTGACCTCGAAGCAGAGGATGATCGCGGCCGTGATGCAGAAAGCGGAGTGTGTCCAGACGAAGAAGTCGCCCTCGTTGATGATGGTCTCATGCTCGCGTAAAATGGTCAGTGCAGCGGCAACACATGTTCGTCGGGTGTGCTGATACGAAGAAGAGTGGAATGACAGGAACAAAAATGGGCGGTGGATCATGATGATCTTTTCCGCGGCCGTGATCGCGAGACTGCGTCGTGCGATCCCTAGCCAAGGGATTTCGAGTTCTTTCTCAGCATCGGGTTGTAACAGGAAGCGGGGGAAGCCCTTGACAACGGAGCGCATTCGTTTGTCCAGCAGTAGGACATGAGCATACTGCTCTCGGAGAGGCTTTGGCTGGCCCATCGACCCCAGCCCATCGATCAGTGATGGCATCAGATCTGCAATCTTCCGTAGCGCCCGCACATAGCTACTCACCGTTGGGACTGTTTGCGGCATGTCGGTCAGGTCGTAGTCGTCCGCGTTCAACGGAGATCCCGTAGAGTATTGCGAGGGCGAGATGCTATAGGTATTGGTGAAGGGGATGGCGAAGTGATCTTGAATCAGCATCTGACACCACACGCGCTTTCCCACTTCACGCTGTACGGTCTCGAGCCACGCCTCCTCGGTGTCCAGAGATGCTCCGCGCGCCTCTCGTATTCGATGCACTCCCAGGCATTCTGCAATACGTACGGCTGCCTTGAATAGGGTGGCGTTCAGCTGACTCCGGCCCAGGTTATGGGCAATTTCAGTGGAGATGACAATCGCCTGCAGCGCATATATCGACATGTCCTCGAGAAAGTGACCGGCATAGAGAGCTTCTAGCATAGCCGTCAGAAAATGATCCGCTGGAGGCATCATGTCTAAGTCGATAGCGACAGCAGCCTTGGCTCGGCTGCTAATGCGCATAGCAAACACAGTCGCTCCAAGAACCGAAAGGTAAAGAGCCATCCACAATGCGTGATCCGTTTCTCCAGTACGCCAAAACTTCTCACACTGTTCGAGAAATGTGGGTGCATGAATGCAGTCATGGTGCCAAGCCATATGGCATAAGTGGAAACGGATAAGCTTCTCTGCACTGGAAGCATCCATACCGAGGTCGAATGAACGTTGAGAAGAGCGCGGAATTGCTCTGAGGACTACGGGTCGGCTATACTGACATCCACATTTCAGATGTGGAAAGCATCCGGCAGAGTCTCTGCCCCATGCCAAATGCTCGATGGCAGTCACTAATGATGAACCAGCTGGCTCCACCGGCTCAGCATGGTACTGTGCTTCATTTGGTCCGGGTGGTAGCGGAGGTTCGGGCACAGGTGGCTGGGGGTCAAGTGAAGGTTCCAATCCCGTTTGAAGTTGAAAAATTCTATTCCGAACGTTTGATATGATCTGTGGTAGCTCTAGCTTTGCTGTAGCGGATGTAGATTCAAGAAGCAAGTTCAAATCCCCGACCAGTGAGTCGAGGAAGTCTACTTCAGCTCCATGTCGCGCTGCGCTTCGCTGCAACTGCACAATCTCACGAGAGCAGCTGAGCCTCAGTCGACTGCATCGGGTACAGGGGATGGTCTTGCTGCATTTTCGCTTGCTTTTGGTACATTCTAAAGACACGAGTTATTCGCGAGGTCCAATGAACTGGCCCACGGCAAGAGAGAGCCACTTCTACTCACCTCGACATGCTAGAGGCTGGCGTTGTGAGACGCGTCGAGATTGTGTAGGCACAGTCGACATCGACCTGTATCTACCTAACAACGATAAGAGTCCAGGCAATAAGAAACTTGAAGTATTATTGGAGATCAGAGAGGCGCAGAAGCGAATGATTAGACCACGGCGCAGCGGGGCAGTCGGTTGTCCGACCCGCACAGAGCATGCACGCACGTGCTGAGTCATCATCATTGTGCACCTCACAAACCTCACAAACAACTCTCTAAACACTACAATACAAACTCTCACGCCTCCTTTATTTTCATCCCAGATGGCTTCAAGAACTATATCCAATCCGTCTTCATAGCCTACAGGTCATGACCCCCTTTCTTGACCAACGTCACTGGTCCCTCATACTCCCCTCTTCCCTTGACCACATACATGACCAAACTCAGGATGAAAATAGCCACGAAGATCACCACACTCCAGTTGAAGTTGTCAGCCGCAACAGGAAGCTCACTTGGCCAGAATGACCAGAACAGCGCGAAGAGAACATATATCAATCCAATGATATTCACAGCCAAACCATAGCGGCCAAGCCCCCAGCGAGCAGGCGGCAGGCTCTCCGGGTGGTAGAGCTTTCGCCAGATCAGACAGCTCATGGAGATGGAATAGGAGAACATGAGCGCGGCTACATTGAGAGATACCACGGCATTGAAAGCGGTCTCAGAGCCAATGTTGATCAAAGCCAAGAGAGCACTGAAAACGCAGGTCAAGATCACCGAATTGACCGGAAGCTTACGCTTCTCGTCCACCTTAGCAGTCCATTTTGAGAACGGCAGTCCAAGATCACGAGCAAAAGAGAATGTTTGCCGAGCGGTGGAGGCGTTGAACAGAATGTTGCTGAGAATCACAGGGATCAAGATAATCGCCATCAGGCCATTGACTCCAGACGTATCAGTTGCCTGCTTGAAGACATAGATCAGAGGATAGCCTGACTCGTCGTTCAGGGCATCCTCGACGGAAGGAGTCGCGAAAAGCATAGTAATCAGCACAATCAACGCCAGGATTGCATTGGCGAAGTATGACCATGTGATTGCAATGGGCACATAACGACCGGCGTCCTTGATTTCCTCCGACATGTGGGCCGTTGCATCCGAACCTATTGAAGAGGATCAGTCTCCAGTCTTCTTCCTTTCCAGGCGATATTCACCTACTCAGACAGCCATAGATCGCGGAGAGTTGGCCCACCATCACCGTCAACCCCATCGAAGAGAATCCACCAAAGTTCTCGAATTTGGTGAAGACCGCTTCAGCCGACTGCAGGGGAGCCAGGACCCAAAGCGATACCACGATCACAACCCAGCAGAGCACATGTGTAGCGAGCAGGACATTCTGCATGCGGGCCATGAGGCCCGAGGCGTACACGTTGAAGTAATACGCAACCAAGATCATGGCAAAGACAAACAGGGTGCCCTGCCAACCCGTGGCGTCATAGCTAGGGTCTCTGACACTGATCAACCCTTGTATGATGGACCCTGTCAAGTAGGAACCGGAGGCCGTGCCTGCTTGCCAGGCAAGGACCGACATCCAACCGGTCACATAACTCAGAAACTTCTGATACCTGGCCGGTGCGAATTCCGAAACCCAATGGTACTGGCCGCCAGACGTGGGAGCCCTAAAAGACCACATATTTAGCTCATCATGAAGGGTTATTAGCTCGGGGTTTCCGATTCCTTACATCGATGCCATCTCAGCCAGGGAAACGATGATGAAGCCGAAACCCACGGTACTCCAGACGTATGACCATAGCATCCCTGCCAGCCCGCCGTCCTGCAAACCTTGATAGTTGGACCTGTCTTTCTGTGAACACGAATTCGAACGAAGCCCAAAGCTGAGGCCGTGGATTTCTTACAGCAAGATATATTCCCAGGTGGCTTGCAAAACAGCAGAGAAACTGAGCGCTGCCAGCGGACGGATGTTTCTCTATGAGTTGCATTCTTTAGCAAAGAATAGACAATTTGCAAGTGATGCTGATGGCACTCACCTTGAACTGCTGGGCCTTGCCCATGCGATCCATCTCCGTCATATCATAACGTGTTCCCTTGACTTCATCCTCATCGTTGACTTCATTGACCTCCATGCTCTGGAAGCCGGTCACCACAGGCTTCTTCATGCTGTATTGTTGCAGATCTTGTTGATTGGCCATAGGATCAGGTTGCTTGAAAGCTCAGGATGGAGAAGGCATGGAGGGAGCAGAAGGAGGGGGTCACGACCCAAAGAAATTTCATATCAATGACGACCGGAGACTGCGGGGAAGAAATTCGGACAAGGAATCAGGGAAAGGGGCAAATCACGCCAGCGCCATGCAAATTTGCCTGAGACCGTTCTCCGTACCGGGGTTACGCAAATTAAGGTAGACAAAGGACTGTGTTGCAGGACTAACGAGTTTAGTGGCACTAAAACCTCGCCTGCGCACGCCTCGATATCAACTAGCAACGGTCCGTCCGGCGGACCAATTTCTGATCCCTGCACTCGCTAATCAACAATAAACTACTAGATTAACATGCTTATCTTGAATGGGATAGGCTTAGCCTACTTGTCTCTCAGTCTCCACCTGAAGATTAGTCTCGACCTTCCCTTATCTACTACCACCGCTCTTTTTCCACCTCGGCACAAAATCGCGGTCCGGTGCTAGTTTCTTAGGGTTCGGCCAACTGCCTTTTTGATGCCGCCAAGACTAATCCATGCATCGTCTGAGTACTTCGAGCCTATGCCACAGTTCAGCCACGCTGCATCCTGAATTTCGAACGCTTGAGGGGACCAGCAGGCCTAACCAGGGGGAGTCGCAGGTTTGACCTACCATAAATCGTATCGGCATTTTGCCCTGAGGTCGGCTCCCACGAGGATGCTTGCTCGACTTCGTAGAATCCACCCCAGCGTGGCATCCTCCTCTTCGTCTACTCATGCGTTCCTCTTTCTAAGGTTGTAATATTCTCATGACCTATACCAGCTTGCCTCCGGGCATCTCCCCGCCTTTGGCGGAGAACAATGCCCACAACCATACCGGGCTGATCATCATCTTCGCAAGCGTGTGTCTTTTCCTGGTCCTCAGCTCACTGGCCATGCGCGTCTACGCAACGACGCAGCGGTCGATGGCATTGAGCGATGACTATCTTCTGGGGGTTGCAGTGGTACGGAATGTGTCTCTGTTTGTTCAGTCCTTGATCCACCTCTAATGCCAGCACACGTCAAGACAGGCAGTCGCCATCGCGCAAATAAGTGTCGTTCTCTACCAAACGCACCTAGGCTGGGGAAAGAGCTCCGAACTCCTCGACCACTCCAGCACAGAGAGAATGGACAAGGTATAGCATGTTGTCATTCCCCTCCAAAATGCGGTCCATCACTGAACCCGAGTGATTGCCAGAGCGCATACGCCTCCGACCTGCTCTACCTCATTGTCCTCGGCCTCTCCAAATGCTGCACCAGTCTTCTATACCAACACCTGACCACTCACGCAGCTCGCTGGATCCCACGCAGTCTCTTGGGTGTGTCCATCATCTGGACAATAGTATCAATCATCCTCATCGGGATCCGCTGCAGCAGGACCCAACCATGGACCGACATCAACGACAAATGCCGCAGTCTAGTCAGTGCTTTTATCATCCCATCCCATCTCATCCCATCCCCCACCCCGGAATCCCTCAAATCCGAACCTCCCCAAGCCTAACCCTCCCTAAATCCCACAGCAACCCCACTGGACAGCAACCACCGCCCTGGACATCCTTCTCGAAATCCTCCTATTCATCTACCCCATCAAACTAATCTACAGCCTCCGACTCCGCCGATCCCGCAAACTAACCGTTCTCTCCCTCCTTGGCAGCCGGGGAATGTACGTTCTCTCCACAACCTGACTCGATGCCCATATCCACACCCCATCCATCCATCCTTCACTCCAAAACAACCCCCATAACCCCCCTTTCTCGCAAAAGCAGCACTGACAAGTGAAAACAATGTAGCCTCCTCATCCCCCTAACAACCATCCACTACCGCACCCTCCTCACCCAACTCCACTCCCCGAACCCAACCCTCCAAGCCTCCACCCCGACCATCCTAAAAGAACTATACCTCGCCACCAGCATCCTCCTCCTCACCCTCTCCTCCTTCAAGATGTTGATCGCCGTCTACGAGGACGACGACGGCCTCGCCTATTACACCAGTGACGGCGGCGCCCACAACAGCAAATCCCGGCACCAGAACACGACCAGGAAGACGCGGGACGCTGGTGGTTCCCGCTCGTCGAAGCACTATACCACGAAAATACCCCGCAGCGGTCTGCAAGAGGGTCGGGGTTACAGTACTGATGGCACTGGTGGTGGTGGTGGTGATACCATCGAGGAGGAGCCGATCCTGGGGCGCCATGCCTGGGGCGGTCAGCAGCAGCTGGGGGTGACGGGAATGGGGATTCGGAAGGACGTGCAGATTGAGGTGACGAGTGAGGTGGTCATTGAGTTGGAGGAGCGGGGGGTTGACGATCAGGATGAGGGGGATGATACTAGGAGGGGCGAGTCACGCGGCAGTGGGAGTGACTCGTACAATCTGGCGGGTGAGGGTGGACATGCTCGTCCGAATCACCTTGCTGGGAGGATTGGGGGTGCTGGCGCAGCAGGGTGGAAGAGGGATAGCAGTGGGAGGTTCTCTGAAAGGTTCTCTGAAAGGTTCGGTGGGATTTAGCGTCGGCGGATTGGCCTCGCCGGGCTTCTGCCGTAAGTAGAATCTCGCTGGAAGGGCATTCTCTAAGAACTACAATTCGAAAGTTGGGCTATTTTCTGTATTCCAATCCTGCCTCGTGCTGTCGCTCGATGGGAAAGTATAGAACAGTACCTGAACTACGGAGCGGAAATCGACGATATCATGATAAAGCTTCAGACCAGAAGCGTGACTTGGGCTGTTGAAGAATTACCCATACTTACATGTTACTAAAATAGAAAAATGGTCCGAGGAGAGATGAACGCATACCAATTCCATTAAATAACGACCATCGAGCAGCATTGGCTCAACCCGAGAGGGACGGAAGTATGATACAACTCAGCAATGCCGATGCTAGGAAACTGTTTTTCGATCCCAGATGAGTAAACTGTACCACCATAACTGAAACCCAAAACTACCTGCTGCGTCGAAACCAGTTTTTGACCTGCAAATGGAGAAGAAAGCGAGAAAAAGAGACAAGAACCCCTTGAGAAATACAATACAGACGCAACGAAGCCGAGACTAAATCGAAAGGTTTAAATGCAGCAGAAAGCCAACGCCAAATTGTTACAAGGTGGGCTAATTTCCTCAGTAATTCAACTCCCCACTGCCGGCACCACCAACGGCATCAAGATCCTCGTAGCTCTTCAGACTGCGGCCTTGAACAGCCTCGCGCGGACCCATACCTTGTTGCGCCCCACTGGCATCGGGGAAATTGCCGCCCCCTAACATAGCAGCCGCAGCGGGGTGGCCAGCAGGAATGTATGGGGCTCCAGAACTGGCCGGCAGACGACCTCCCGCTCCATAGATGTTAGACATACCACGGATCGGGCTCAAGCGGCCAATGCCACCTGCTTGTGCACCATGTCGGTTACCTCGGCGATCGTAAGGTCCGGTGCGATTGTTGTAGCGACCACCACCACGACGCACAACTCCGGGCTGATGCAAGCCATGGCCATCACCAGGAACTATACCATTTCCGCTCCAGGATGAGTTATTGACACCCATGAACCCGGGCAATCCAGAGCCAGGGAGACCCTGGAAACCTGGGGGCACACCACTACTGCCTGCGAAATGTGCCGGCATTGATGCCAGGCTGAACCCGCGGGGAGTACCCGCCTGACCTTGTCCAGTGCCCAAGGGGAAATGACCGTTGCTGTTGGCATCCGACCGGGAAGGCGCGATGCGAGCGGGATCGAGCACGTAGGCATTGACCAAAGCAAGCTATGACTTGTTAGCAACAGCTTAACCCACGGGGAATAGAAGCACTTACGTCGCTGCGAATGTTCTCATACCACTCAGTGTGACGCTTCTCGACGTGCTTACGCCAGAAATGATCCGCTTTGAACAGCTTCGTGCACTCAGGAACCTTGCATCGGTACTTTGACTCGTCCTCTTGCTTCATGAACTTGCTCAGCTCCTCCTCCAGGGCCTCGTCAACTGGCTTGCCGCCTAACTTCGCAATGTCCACATTTTCAGGCTCAAGGATCTGCAGGAGCTTGTCTTCAAAGGTCTTAACCCAGTTAAAGGCTCGCTGAAGCTGTTGTTCGGACTTGGAGCTGTATCGTTGAGACCGTCTTTCCTCCACAGCGGGCGGCTGTTCCTCGCCCTCCTCGCTTGGCTCTTTCTTTTTGACGGGGAACGGCTGCCCCAGTGCACTAGCTCGAGCGACAGCTTTGGACTGTGTTGTCAGACCAGCACGTGGGCGACGAAGATGTCCACCTGGACATTTCCGGGCAAGCTCGTGGACTGAGTCGCATTCAAAGACACAGAAGAAGCAGAAATTGTAGACTCTTCGAAGGTACTCCACCATCAAATCCAATTTCTTCTTCTTGGCCAGAAGTTCCTCGTCATCCACGTCGTCATCTTCCCATCCCTCCCGCTCCTCTCCTTCTTCGGCCTCGCCCTCATCGATATCATCAGCATCGTAATCGGACTTCCTCTTCTTAACGCTAACGGGGCCAGTCACAGGGGGCTGTAGCCATCCCTTGCCGCGCAGATCTTCGACTCTCTCCTCAATCCGGGTGAATCCATCCGCATGAGCCCCCATCTCCGCGTCCAATCTAGAAACCAATCTCCTGGCCAGCTCCAAATCCCGAGAGATGCGCTCGGGGGATGAGAACAGGTCCCACAAAGCCTTCTTGCGGGGTTGCGATGGGGGCACATGTACACCGACATGGCAGACAAAATCACCGTGAACTTCGTCGTGGATTGTTTTGTCATTAATAGCTTCGAGGGCTTTCTCAGCGGCCGACACGGTCACGTTTCCGTTGGAGTTGCTATCCTGATCCATCTCTTCACCTTCTTCTTCGCGCCCATCGCCTCTTTCAACGATGGGGACATCGGGAGCTGGGTGAAGCATGATCCAACCCATCCGATGATACTTCTTGGAAGGATTAGGGTCACTTAGACTGAGCCATTTGAAACCTCCGTCTGATTCCCCAAGGTGCTCCTTGCAAAATTCTTCGATTTTGACACGACTCACATTAGGAGCCAAGGTCTTGATCAGTAAGGCTGACTGGGATAACGCCTCATCCCGTAGGTCGCCGCCTCTGGCTGGGAGCAAATCCAAGACACCCAACGTCTCGCCAACAGCAGTTGTTTCGCCCTCTTCTTTCTCGATTACACCGCCGGCTCCGTCGCTCTCGCTCTTGTAGATACCTTCCAAAGTGAACTCATCGAAGATGCCGGTATCAAGATCGTTCTCCCATTGCTCATAAGCGCTCATGCGGAAGTCCATCAATCGGCGACGGAGAGGCTCTCGCACTTCCGGGACATATCGCTCTTTGAACCATTCCTCGTTGCGATGGTGTTGAACGAAAGTGCGGGCCATCTTGGCCTGAAGGTCAACTTTGTAGGCGTCGTAAGCAGCTTGGATTTGTGCCCTTTCTCTGTCTCTGTCTTCGCGAGCCTCGCGTTCTCCTTTGACGCGATCCGATGGGCGTCTGCCACCGTGCTTAGCGCGTTCCTTCTCTTCCTTGATTGCCTGCTCCGCCCTCCACCATTCTGCAAACCAATTGAATCCAACTTGGAAGTCCAGGTTGAGAGGGTTAGGCAGAGGATTTGTGGGAATCGGGCGCTTGCCGGAATCCTGCCCCGGGACATAGCGATCGATGTTGGCGACATTGGGCGACGGCGCAGAACGACGGTCGTCACGCTCACGCGCGGCATGCTCGCGGGACGCGCCGTAATAATCGTCTCGTGGAGCACGACGGTCGACCGGTTCATAGCGATCGATCATGGCAGGCGAACGAGAGCGGCCGCGACCCCGACGGCGGTCTTGAGACACTAATAAGTTCAAGATGTTATCAGTAGGCCGTGTGACTAAACAGACGACCAGAATCTTTCCACTTACCAGGCGATCTGCGGCGATACGAATCGACTGGTGCACGGGTGGCGTAAGGATCGCCGCCATCACGGCTTCTCCCGGGAGAGCCGAAAGTGTCATATGCATCCATCACAGCGATACCCTGAAGGGAATATCGGACAGTCCAAGACTGGAAGTCACTTCGGGTGAATGGTCCGGGTGGTGAGAATGGCAGAACAGGTCGCGAGTTGACCCAAAAGTGGGAGGGACAATGGATAAGCTAAGATGCGACATCATCGGATTAGAGTACGTCCTTCACTTGTAAGAGTGTCTCAAGGGCGGGACAATGATGATGGTTTGAAGGGACAAGGTGGGAAATGAAAGGATGAGGACGAGGCTGTAGGCCCTAAAATGGCCAGGGGACGAGGAAGAGGCATTGTTTTTCTTTGTAAAAGAGACAAGAGCGAGCCAGAGAGGAGAGAGAAATAAGCAGGGCGCTCACGCGAGCCAGACAACGATTGGAGGAAATGGGAGCACAATATGGACAAGAGCACAGATGATGGTCTCGAGGGCCGATCACGGCGCGACGCGACGATGAGGAAGTAAAACTTTGAAAGATGGAAAATCGCAGGCACAAGTGAAGATAAGTGAAGATAATTGGCTTGATCGAAACTCGATGAATTTTGATTGAGAGATTGATGAGAATGAGCGCAGGGTATTTGTGGAGGGGGGGGAGGAGATGAAAGACAAAGGCGATACGGAAGAGGATAGACTGAGCACGATAAGAGAGTAATAAGGCAAGGCAGGCAACCTACACGAGAAGCCTTGGAACGGAGAGGTCTGGATAGTCCACTTGAGAGAGCGAATTGGCGCAACAGATGTCCAACCCGATGAGAAGATCAGATGGAACGAGATAAGCAAACTCGCAACAGAGCTGAGTAGTGGTGCGGATCAATCGGTGTGGGGGGGGGGGGAGGGAGAGGAAAGCTGGAGAGGAAAGGAAAGAGGAAAGAAGGGGAGGGAGAACGATGGAGAAAGATGAGGCTGGAAGCCCAGAGGATGAATTACCACTATTCCGCATTCGGACTAGTTTGCCTGAGGCCTGAGGCCGGTGGCCTGTGACAGCGCGCGCCACTTTAAAATAGAAACGAAGCCCCCGAGTCCAAGATAAGATACTTATAGATGGGTATCAAGTTCGATCACTCAAAATGCTTCCCTCGAAATGCTTCCCTCGAAATGCCTCTTTACTCATAATTCAACTCAAATTTCAAGCTCCGTCTATAAGTACTCTAAATCATATTCAGAAGGCAGTGACGTCTCTCATGTTCTAGCTCTCTAGCTCTCGCGTCCTGGATATCCAGAGATCAAGCAGTATCCGATTTGGAACTGACAGAAATATCGAGATAAAACTGGTAAAACTGGTAACTGGCATATTTGTACATAACTAGCATGGGAATCATCCGTCGAAAATCACAAGCCGGATCAAATACCAGAATTGGTCGAACCATCAGCTGGCCATGGATGAAGGACAACGAATCGAGTTCGTGGGAAAGATTTGGGTGAAGGAACCCTGCGTCTGGCTTAAGTCGGACACGAGAGTCTGGACGCAGCGTCCCAATTGACAACAGTCAGATCACCACTGTTGACACTCTTCCAACCAGCTCGCGCTTTACCAGGCACAGACCACTCTTTAACTACCAACCATGGACCCCAAAACCACTCCGCGCCGAGGCAAGATCAAGTGAAATAGCAGGTTTGGTCAAGGAAACTTTAAGCCATCCATGACGGTCGCAAATACAAAGTTGTCAATAACATTTGGGGTACCCGTCGATAGGACTGGATAGCAGTCTGTATAAAGCGCTGCCATCGACTGTAAGAATTTAGACCTCCAATGGAAAGACGCTGGGTCATGTAGCATCAGCAGTGGCATGAACAACATAATCCCTTCATAATTCGGAAACCGTGCACCGTCCCGAGAGAAAAAGGAAAATAACAGAACATAATCATCTCACACATGCAATCCTGACAGGCTGAACATCATCAGATGTAAGGGGTGGTGGTAAAAACACTTCGTGCCAGCATAACGATATAAACAAACATAAGTAGAAAGGTGGCGTGAGGAAGAATGGAAGAAGAAAATTGCAACAACAGAGATAATGGTATGAACGTAAACATGTGCACATCGCTGGGTGGTTCAAGCGAAGGGGTTGTAATATAAAGAGGAAAAAAAAGGGAAAACAATCAAAAACAACTATCCGTAAATCCATGATAATGATTAGAAGAGGGCACGAGCTGGCGGCCTAAAACGGCAAAATATTCAGCCGTCCTCGTCAGACAGCTCAGCAGATTCGTTCTCGCTCTCCTCGGCACTTGTGCTCGCTTTCGCGGCGACAGTCTTGACCTTCTTGGGATTGGCATTTTCATCGTTGACGTCGCTCGACTTGCGCTTCTGCGCTGTGGGGGAGGTGGTCCCCACTGATTTCGTAGCATTGCTGTCGATGTTCTCCTGCCCAGAAGCCACGGCGCCGGCTGATTGCTTTTTCTCCATTGCAGCAACCTCATCGGCTGTTAAAAAGCGTCCACCGGGGCCTCTAGGACGCCGCATGGCATGATTGTGGCGCGACTCGTGCAAGTAAGGCTTGCGTCCCTTTGAGGTCAGTCGCAATTGCTCCTCCAGCTTCTGTCGGGCCACCCGGCGCTTCAGAATGCGATGAAATTGCTTCGCATTCACATACAGTGGGGATTCATCCCCGCCACCGGCAACCATATCAGGAGAAGCCTGGCTTTGCTGAATTTGAGGTTGGGGCGGAGCCACCATGGCCGGCGGCACGGAAGGTCGGCCAACGTGGTTAAGAACAGGCTGCGCACTCGGGACGTGAGGACTGCCCACATGGCTCATGCGACGCTGCTGCAACTGTGCACTCTGGGACATCGGTACTTGAGGTCCCATCGAGGCCATTTGACCCGATATTTGAGGGGGGGAACGAGGGTTCCGATCACTCTTAACCTGAACTCCAGCCATGCGTGGAGATCCCCGAGGGCCAGGTCCCATCTGACCCGGTATCGAGTCTTGATGGATGGGATAGAACGGGCCCGATGCTGCAGCCGTCGCCATGGCAGCCGCCTGGGTGGGTGAAATTCCATACGTTTGTGGCATCGCAGCTGCGACGCCGTACGATTGGGGAAAGTTCATCTGCTGATGTACTGATCCAGGAGCATTTTGCGGTTGCTGGTAGTGAGACTGTGAGGGAACGATTGGGGAGGCCTGGTGTGTAGGATGAGCTTGTTGCATGTGTGCCTGGGGGTTAGTGGGAGAAGTCATTGACCCTACAGCGGGACCTGCATTCGGGGGCGCTGTCTGGTAAGGGGCAGCGATGTGAGACGGGGCATGGGGATGCTGCCCGTGGGGCTGTTGATATTGCGGAGGATATTCCATCGTGAAGTCGCGACGAGCTTGTCGCGCTTCCAATCAATGAGGATTGATCGAGCGCCCTGGCTGTCAGGAACCAGCTAGTCAGAACCAATGATACTACAAAGACGAGACGGTTGACAGAAGCTCAGTTGTCGGAGACCAGGTTGGTAATGGTCAAGGGACAATGATAGGTCGTGAAGCAACAGTTGCACTTGGAGAAGATTACGGTCGTGCACAGAAAAATAAAGGCGGCCGCAAATAGTCTGTGGTCGTGACTGATGATTCGACGAGTTAAATGCGGAAGGTCTGCGGATTCTTGTTATAGTGTCAGCATGAAGCGCAGCACCAGCCGGTCACTGGATTCGGAGTGAGTGGGGTGGATGGGGGAAGAGAAAGGCGCTTGCACCTGGGCGCGTACCTCCGCTTTTGTTTTGCCAATACACTCGAGACGTCGACAAGAGTGACTGGGCAAGGTTGAACGCTTGTTTGTCCAAATTTCTCCAAGCGACTTTCTCCGGCGGTTCAGTGTCTTTTGTGGAAATCTTTTTTACGTTCTCCTCCGAGTGTAACGTGGTTGGGCTTCGATGCAGCGAACCAGGGTGTCCTCGATAAAATGTTGCACTTGATGCGTTGTCAAACAAAGCGCAATCGCTTCGGTGATAGCGCAGAGGTATATCTCCAGCACAACAGAGACAAAAAAAATAAACGGAAAAAAATAAATGCTACGCAGTATAATAAGACGACAACTGGCTGCGTAGTTCCCAGAGTCAGTCAGTCGGACTGCTTGCTTGGCCACGTCCGTCTTGAGGCGGTGCTAGCAGCGTGGTCAGCTTCTCAGTCGCGACCCGGTAGTGCGGGCTAAGGCTAGTCCACGGGTCCTCGGAACTATAATGCGGCGTGGGACGCGCTGATGTCAGGATGCGCCTGAAGGGGGGCTTGCACGGCTTTCTCAGCTACAGCACACAATTAGCATCGATCATCTCCACAAACCAAGATTTCGGCTTCTTGATTTGTGTGCTGTCATCCAGGGTAAAAGCGTCAGGGTGGAAGGGGGTGGGGAGAGGGGAGGGGAAGGCAAAACCGTGGCGTCTTCGTCCATTCAGGGCTGAAGGATGTATGCGTTGGCAAGCGGAATCATGATGCAGCCGGTGACATACCTTGTTAATTGCAACGCACTCGTGAGCCGAGACAAGGGCAGTGGTCTGCTTTTCGCGTGTCCTTATCAAAAAAATACGTGTGAACTGAACTCAAGGATTTCAGTTCGCGATGACGGAAATATGATTCGCGTCTAGCTAAAGGTGATAATGTTAGAGATATCAGATCCAAGACGATGGCAGGCAGGGATTGACGCGTGGTGATTGGATCGTAACGGGCGGGGAGGGAGGGGGAAGAAAGGTAGCAGCAAGTGAAACACAACAGAAAGCAAGCATGACACGATCGCGGATCAAAGGGGACTTGGCGAATTAGGACAAATGACAATGACAGCGACAATAGTAGTTCAGGTACTGATCAACTTAACAGGATAGAATTTCCAGGTTTGCTTTGCGTTTCCCCAGAGGATGAGAGAGAGAGAGAGAGGGATCACAGTCGCGGTGTGCGGGTCGCGATCGCAGCGAAGGGCAGAAACAGAAAACAACAACACGCCGCCGCTGCCTCGTGGTTTGAAACAAGGTTAATTACCTTTAGCAGCGATTATTCTCCGCGGGAAGGGAGAAGGTTCCAATGCAGCGCAACACGAAAAGGGCAAATCAAGTCAATGATTTGCCGGAAATCAACTGTCACGAGGGAAGGGATTTGGATTGATTCGCGGGTTCGCGCTTTCAAGAAGAAGGCGGACAGCAGCAGCAGCAGCAGCAGCAGCTAACACGCTTACTTCTCTCTCTCTCTCTCTCACACACACACCCTCTCTCTTTCCCTCAAGCTGTTGCTTTGCGGTGCTGCCGCTGATGTCAGTCCGGCCCGGGGTTGATCCGCCGAGTCAAACGCATCAAACATCGGAGCCCACCCTTGCCCGGGGAAAAAGCAGCAAGTATGACAGAGCCAAGACTTCGCTTGTTCAATCAAATAACCAAACGGGTAATGAAAAACACAAAATTTCTATATGAATCATGCACACAAGCACACAGAATAAAAAGGCACAAAGTTGACTGGTGGAGAAGCGTGCTTGGGTGATGATTGAATCATTATGACTGGGGTCTGATAGGAGTGCTGGCAGTGAGAGCTGCACGGCGGTTGGAGAAACAACCTGGCTGCAGACCACGGGGGGGGAGGGGAAAGGAGATTGGGGGCCAGCCTCGGAGATGAAGGGGAGGAGGGTGTAACGGGATTGGGCGTCAACCAGATTAAGGTGATGCAATCAGAGGCATTGAGAGGAAAATAAGATAGGTGATCACAAATTCACGATGCAAAAAGAACTATGAGCAAGGGGTATGTATGGGATGGGGAATGGAAAATGGTATTGAACTGTTTAGAGAAAAAAAAACAAAGTAATAGTGTTCACGTACCTTAGATGGTGATTCGATCACAACCGTGGTAAAGGCAGAAGAGAGATGAGGAAAGTGATCAATCACAAGAGGAGAGCGGATGGGGGTGGGAAGGGCAAACGACGATTGGGTTGGACAAAGACCAGATGGGTGATGGGTTTGAACTTGGGGAAGCCAACCCAGGCTGGAGGGAGGAGCGAGTAGGAAAAAAAAGAAAAAAGAGCAGAGAACCTTGAAACCAATGGGCTCAATGGGCTCTGTGCGGGCAGACAAGAACAGTCCAACTGGGGGGGTTGACTGGACTCCCTGGAGGGGGGACACGCAAGGACTGGAGAGGTTGGATGACCAACGAGAGTGAGCAGAGAGAGAAAGCCGCAGCGAGAGGAAGGGGCGAGCGATGGGGCATTTGTACCGGCCGCAGTTGCGAAGGGGAGCTGACTGGCTCGGTAGCTTCGTCGACTTTCCAACCTTTCCAGTTCCAACAAAGGTCGCCTCCAGGGTTTTTCGCTCCATCGGGTTTAACCTGTCTTAGGTAAGGCGGTCCGTCACTGACCGTCATTACTTACCCGTACTAGAAATTACCACCTGTATCTTCCCCAACCACCACCACCACCACTACCCTCGCCCGCCCACCCACCCACACAGTTGCAGTTCCTTAAGTTAGTTGCTTTTTTAATTCTCCTCTTAAAGGCTGGGTGCAGGCTCATCAACAATCTCAGTTGATCAATGTTATTTATCTATCTATATATCTATCTATCTATCTGTCAACAGCGTCTGCGTCTTGATCTGGTCATAAGCCAACTGTTCAAATGATAAATTAAAATGCCCTTATGTTCACCATCCATCTACCCAGGAACAGGGTTTCTTCGCCGCCCAGTCTGGAAAGCATCCGGCCATCCCGAATGCTCATTTTGTGACTCTCAGCAGGTGTGACCCAACCGGGCCAAGCGTCCTCGGGAATCGAACAAAAACTGTAAGACCGAGGATGGTGGCCGACCTTCAATTTCACCAGCCACCCCAGGCAGTATGTAGCTACAGTATTGACTGCCAGTGCCAGCCAGGTGCTGATGATCAAGGACAAGATCTGCTGGCGTCTCCTCTTGGACCAGCGCCTGTTTCTTTGACATGGGAGTCTCTTATTAATACCTGGTTAAATACGTACTACTCTGATTATGTGTGACTTCTCCATCGAGAGCTCTGGCTGGTCGCGTCAATCTTCGCATTAGCATTAGCATTAGCATTAGCATTATTCAAAACAACCAACTACTGTAGGCAGTGCTTTAGCCAGAACGTGCTTCCTGCACCATGCGACCTGAGCCGTGAAGTCACACTGATTGTCCGTCCTTCTGTAAGCGCGGCCGTTTTCTTGCTTTTCTTACCATACGCCGCACGGTGGTGTAGTCTGCTACTGGCCAGTGCGCTCAAACGTCAGCGGAGTTCATCGAGGAGCCATGGCCAGTCTCGGTTATATCTCCCTTTCAGGAAAGACACCTCGGAAAATAATAATCAGAGGAAAATGCAAGCACGAGCGCATTCGTTCGTTTCTCTATCTATCTATCTATCTATCTATCTACCTACCACTGCGGGCTGCAGACCTCTTCAGCAGAAGCGAAGTATGAGTATACCTATGCGCATTGTGGACAAGATTCATAAACTTGTAACAGCTCGCATCTGTAACTTTTCCTTTTCCCTTTTCTTTCTTTCACTTTTTGCAGGATGCGACGATTCTTTGGGAAATCACTAGCGCTCGACCAAGCGCTGGATCACATTCTAATCAAATTTCCGACGCGACCGTGGTCCGCTATCGCATATTGTGGTTGCACACCCAACAATCGGACAATGAACCGTGACTACCGTGGGCCTCTAAGCGCCCTTCCGTCCATAGTATACTACTGTTGTCCCAAAATCTATAGTTATCGTTTGGGAATCTCGAGACGAATATGCAATCATGTGATTGTTCCGTTACTCGATGAGAGGAGAACGTAGAGAGCTCGCATGCTCAAATTTCTTGGGTTGTACGACTATTAACAAAGTGACGGAACTGTCCTAGTATGTCACATATGTAGCGGAGCTGTGTCTGCAGTTTGTTGTCTTTCTAGTCCGTACAGCTGCTAAAGTGGACGTCATTTTGCGGATGGTCTTATCCAAGTCCGAAAATATATACATCCGTTCTAACACGAGGCTCAAGTTCTATTGTGGAAGATCAGGTCCAATCCTAACTCGGAGCACCCAAACACCTTGCACAAGCATTGTAAAGAACCCAGTCGAATTTAAAACTCTCCGCATTCTCGGGCCTGTTTGGATTTTCACACCATCGTGATTGCTAGTGAGATAGAGGGTGGATTGTTAGGCTGGTCTGTTCTATACCACGTGTGAAGCTTGACCGCCTGGCGCAAACTTACCCGTACAGCTTCAACGGAGCGGAACAAAGAACCTCTGTCGCATCTCCAAATTAAAAAGCAAGTGACAATAAAGGAACCTCACTCAACTGCGAGAAGATGGATCTTGGCACTCATAAGGGTCCCCATGACACTCGCGTAACTGCGTCTAGCTTGAGCTTGTGTCAAGGTTGGGATTGGGATCTGAGACTATCGTGGTAGATTGAACCCCAGCAAAAAGCACCCACCTAAGCTCTGGCCAGGTGACGTCAGGGCAGCTGTGGGTGACAGTCCCCGCCACACCGCTCCATCTTGGTCACAAACAGCAGTGAGCGAGTAGCTGGGCATGTTTTCAATTGTGAATCATCAAGCTCTAGACTATCCCATCGATGTTCCGCTCGGTCGTCCCTCCGCGTCTCTGGCCGTATTCAGCTGGCGAGGTTTGCACAGTCTTGACTTTGCCCAGATCGAAGTGTAACCCACATTGGCGAGAAAGTGCTAGGCCGGAGGACAGACCAAGCGCTGCGGAGGGTTCCACTAACCGATCTTTCGGGATGCTATACAATGACATCAAGTAACATAGTTAGCTTTTGGTCGCACGAACATAAGCTACCCATACTTGGCCAGCTGTGCTGCCTATAGATAGATCTAACCATTGACCTACTGCTCATAGCAAGAACGCGCTCACTGGTTTGAATTTAGCCGACCTCCCCAGCAAGCAATGCCGACTAGTTCTACTGTTTTCGAGATGACAAGAAACGTATATTTGTGAGTTCAACCTATTCATCACCCGCCAAGATCCTCTGATGCAGCCCATGGCAGTGCGCCTGTAGGTTCTAAAGCCCTATAGCGCGCAAATTATGCCATCGGCTGCTCCCTCACGTGGCGGAGAGCCTTTCTATTTGACTTTCCGCCAACATCGTGTTTTGAAACTGCCGTGTTTCCGTGTCAATGGGTGTTCTCGTTAAACTGTCGGGTGGCGGAAGCTGCTGGCCTGACTTGAGTCTCGCAGTGGAAGAACAGCGTGACCGACCGATCGAAACTTTACCTTTTGTCCGGCCATTCTATCGGATCGACTGCGCCCTATGAGATACCTTGCTGTCATACACGCAATCGGAAAGACACGAGATGGGGCCACGCCGAAAGATTGTATACCCTTGACAGTACAATCAATCGAGTCCGATCACAGGGATTAAGGTAGTCTTCATTTCTGAAACACAAAAGATTTCGTCAAGATCGAGGATGTCATAATATATGGAGCCATCCGTGGATCACGAGCATGTGCTCAGCTTGATTCTACATAGGGGAGGATGTGTACGCGAACCAGCAACCTGATCATAATCTTTCTAGAACACTATTTCAGTTCGACACCATGGGATTCTTGTGACGGCTCTATGGCCCATTGTGCTACACAAGCCAATCCGCGCACAATCACCTGAAAGGCCATCGAAGAACTGCAGCGCGGAGGCAAGGAGCGAAGATTCCGCCGACCCAGGTGGTTTATACCATTTGTACAGCGATCCTCATAACGTCTACAAGTGCAATGAACCTTGTCACCCGAGTCTACATTCAGCGCTACTTCACTCAATACACTGCTCCGGGGCTGACTGCCATATTGGTAAATCTTGCCATTGTAGGTAGTAGAATGGCTCCTCCCGGAGAGTTGAGGAACAACTTACGAACACATAGCACAAATTCCCACTCGTCAAGCGGTTATGCTGATTGATGCAGTGTACGCTTCACAAGCGCAACCCTTCCATCTCAAAAGGCTCATTGAGCGAAAGCCCCTTACACATGATCATCATCAGACCGAAGTATTGCATCGCACAATTGAGGAGTCAGGTTGAACAATAGCCAGCTACTGACCTTTGCAAGGGGGAGCGAAAGAATGGGCGTCCAGCCATAAACACCAAATGGAACGATTGCATGCTGCTGTGTGCAATGACAGGATGGGTTGCTAAGATATGACGCTTCCATGGGCCGGTCCATTGGCCACCCGGGCCATGGACTAGGCATTGCCTGCCAGATCTGTCCCGCCTCGATTCGGTTCGCTAGGCTGTGTTATGCTACACTCCAGATACCGGGTTTTTGATGATTCGAGTCATCCTCCCCGCTGGACTACAATTCGGTAAGATACAGAGGTTCACAGAGCGCTCACATGAGCAGTGATACCACCTTGATGATCACCATCGAGGAGAGTTCCAGCTTTGTGAGGTTGTGCTCGCTTCCAGAGACTTCTGTGTGATATGCACTGAACTCTGAGTTGTGCCGGCAAACCTTCTTCTCTTCAGGTAGAGAGTTCCTCCTGTGGGGTTGCTCACCTTTGCCCCAGTGCCTTTGACGAGATGCATGATGGATGAAGAACGGGGATTAACTCTTTCATAGAGGGGCCGACACATCAGGCTTGATGACACATAGCGTCCAGGAGCGGAGTACAGGCCCTGGTACCTTTGAGTCTGGTCCAAAGAATGGTACTGATGACTCTTTCCGCAACGATTCACCACAGCATCAGTGATGCGATGCATTTTGTCCAAGGCAGAATCACTAGTAGGATGTCCCAATATGGTACCCTTCGTAGAAGAAAGTACCTCTTCTTAAGGAAAATGTCATTCCTGTGTTATATCCCAGCTGCTTAGTATGAGTAGACTCCGCAGGGTGACATTCAGTACGGGGCCGCGATTCACCAATGCATGTTTACATAAGTGACTGCTACGTTGCTTTGAGGAGAGGAATGGTGCTTATTGGATAGCGATATGCCTTCACCAGACTTGGTAGAGGCCAACGATTCTGGTACCTTACCGTCGGCTACCTGTCCCTCTCTTACAGGTTTAACAAACCGATCAACCGCATCCTGCCAGCTGTACATGCAGCATTCGTGCAAACCTAGTTTACAAATCGAAAGCAATCAGAGAGGCTGATGGTAATAGTACCTTTCTCATATACCTCGCATCACCAGCGCCTGAATCAAGTCCGCCTGGATCACTGGCATCAGAGGAGGTACGCGCTGTACTCGTTCTTAGGCTATGCGATAAACTGATGCATCATGGTCGGGACTCCACCTGTAAGACCTATGTGTGCTCAAGACGTTCAGGTCAAAACGAAGAGGAAATCTTCCCTGATTGTCGCTCCGAGCCTCGGAGGTGACAGCGATAATCGTGATTTATACCCATCTTGGAGTCTTACTAGTCTTACGCGTATCTGACCTACGGCCAACGAAGAACAAAGCCAGAAGCACAACTGATTGTCCCTGCGGACCCAGACAGTCAACAGTCCGACTGACCCAGTTCTCTTGGGCGGGAAGTCTATAAGCCATAGTTGTTATTGCATATCCAAGTCTGCCTGATTGCGGCGACAAGGCGGGGTGAGGTAGAAAGGATTAGATGGCTACTTAAGAGATCATTCTCTCAGCTACAAATAAAGAGACAGCCTGACCCCGCAGTCGCCCTCCCTTTGGCGAAGACTGGTGTGGTGACCAGGCCGCATGGGTCAGGAGGGGCTTGTTTGGAAAAGATACTCCGAGGGCTTATGAAGGGTTGGGCAGACAACCACCGTTAACAAACGTGAGAGCAAATGACGTACGTAGAGCACCCGTGAGAGGAATTGTGGCTACAACTTGTAGCTGAGCATAGCCCATGACTTTTTTTCTCTGATCTTACTATTCATGCTGATAAGGGAAGAAATCACTGTACCTTCATTTCATTCCTCCAATTCATTATCAATTATCTAGTTCAAGCCGAGTCTAAGCCCTGCAGTGGAGAGCGGATAATCTCTGGAACCGGTGGAACTGCAGCAGAGGGTAGTCCACCATGAGCCTATTACAACGCAATGATCCTGGAAGCACCAGATC